TTCCGTTGGTACAAACCGTATTTGTAAAAATCCTTAACAAAGCGCACTTTGAGCGAAACTCGCAGAGACTGCATCGAAGGGCAGGAACGTATGTCGTTGACCGCGAGACACCATACTACACTAACGCGTACGCTTCGAGAAACGAGCGAGCGAACCCCGATTCGCAGTCACATCAGACGGATGGCGCGATCGACATTTTCACGTAGGCGAACTGCCGTGCTCTCGACAACTCGCTCCTTCTTGCGACAACGAACGGTAAATCGGGCGAGGGAACCTTCAACCTGATCGGAGATCGGGGATCGGGGTCGCGGTAGATTTCCCAGCTAAAGCGCTCCGCCGCTGTATCCATTCGAGAGAAAGAATCGCCTGCAGGAAATGCCTTTCTCGCGCGTAACACGGTAACGCGAGAGCGGACGCAACGGCGCACCACACGCCGTCCACGACTGTCTAAGACTGCCCGTGTGAACGTGAAGGAAGATCACGTCAGCTCGATTCTCTCTCTCTCTCTCTCTCTCCCCCTCTCTCTCTCTCTCCCTCTCTCTCTCCCTCTCTCTCTCTCTCTCTCTCTCTCTCTCTCTCTCTCTCTCTCTCTCTCTTCCGCGTGACCCGATCGATTCGCAATCACGTCGCAACGCATTGTCCGTCGCGTGCATCGCGCAAGCGTTGGAGAGCGTTTGGGACGAGAAGAGGGACTCTTGTGCCTCAATTCGCGTCGAAGTAGCAGCAGCTCCTGAGTTGACTCCACAGTAGACTTCTATATAATATACTAGACTGCTAACTTCTATTGTTCTTCTTATGTATAAGTGTTGCCCATGTACATGTAATGCGCGGAGCAGATGCGCAAAATATGGACGCGATTCTAACCTTTCGAAGTGACACACGTATATGTAATTGCCGTTGCAATAAGCCCAAATGTCATACAAGTTTTTGATATCGGTTATAATTAAGAGAAAAATACGTATCGCGAAAAATAATATTGGTAAAATTACGGTGAGTAATAAAATACTCGTGTGTGTGCGTGATCATGAGAAATATGCATGTGGTATATGAAATTATAAAATTTTATTATTAAATTTTCGTATAAATTGTAAATAAATTGTAAATTAATACTTACAGAAAAATATGCCGAAACGGTAGCGCGCCTACACAAGTATATAAAACTGTTTACTGCGCATCCCTTAGTCCGTATTCTGCGCAAGTCGTACATACTTTTTGGCAACAGTAAAGACCATCACACGTAGAAAAATTTTAACCGTAACCGTAAGGTTGTAAGAAAACTGACCAATCACAGTCGATCCTTTCTCTTGTGACATTATAATAATCGACTGTGATTGGTCAGTTTTCTTACAACCTTACGGTTACGGTTAAAATTTTTCTACGTGTGATGGCCTTTAAAGGGACGCAGTTAGCAGTCTAGTGTATTATATAGATAGAAGTGTCTGTGGGTTGACTCTGACTACGTCGCCAAGTTAAATGTGTAGCAACGATTCCAGCAACGACCGTACCGACGCAATGGCACGTCGATCAAACGTGTGTGGATCATAGACATAGGAATATAGAGACAGAGCATAAGCCCGTAAGATAGACGAGGGGTGTTGTGCTGAAATGCGGGGGGCGACTGTACCTAAAGCCAGCGGCACACGGTGCTTGTTTTCGTGCTGGATTGCTTGCTGGATGAAAATACTGCGTTCTGATTGGTGCATTTCCGAAGATGGATGGAAATGCACCAATCAGAATGCAGTATTTTCATCCAGCAAGCAATCCAACACAAGAACAAGCACCGTGTGCCGTTGACTTAAGTTTCATTGGCTACAATAGTGCGCATATTCAGAGCGTGTAATGCAACGACTTGACCTGTCATTGGCAAATAGTAAATGTAACAAAATGATAACAACCATTTACACTGACAGTATTTTGCAGATTATGCATGTGTCTTCTTTTTCATAATTTCATTACCACACAACTTAATACATACACATCTATGTATGTATCAAATCTTACACACGGTACAACCACCAATTAGATTTAGGCACAGTTTACCTCGTCGCACCGTCCCGCAATGGTTATCGCCCCGCAACTCTATGCTCTGTCCCTATATCCTACTCTATGTCTATGGTGTGGATCGGTGGCGTGGAGAGAAACGGGACGACCATTGTGCGCGTGCGCGTGAGCGCGAGGCCTGTTCTAAATGATATTCGTAGAAACTTTATACCCTTAAATTGTTGAAACATGGGGTGTAAAATACAACTGTGTTTATAATTACCGCAACAAGGAACCTTTGAATTTACAGACAAACTAAAAGTCTCCAAGTAATTCTTTTCTTTTGTGTTATTATTATTAGTCTCCTATTCGTCTCGTGTTTGTGTAATATTTAATTTTTTCTACAAAACAGCAATGATCGCTGTCGAACAAGTAATGAACAAATTTTCTCCGCCTATTTCGAGTATATATGTGTACGTATAAATGCAACATACATAACTGAGTGTAGTAAATAGTACTTGCATCGAGGTCGAGTGAATCGAGAAACGGCTAATATAATGTCCGTATATCCGTTGGCTTTATTTAAAAATCAATCACCTTCTTCTTAACCGATAAACCAAATAATATATTTAACGTGCGTTTAAACCAACATGGGAAGGGTTAGAGGGTTGTACAATGCAGTTTAGGCGGGCACTGGGCTCGCTGTGAGAGCGAGACGTAGCGACGCATCTGTTTTGTACAAAATCTATAGCTAATTGATACATCTATAATTGTTGTATGTACGTATGTATGTAATATCCTATGTTACGAATGGGACGAAAGTGATTAATCGATATATCTCTATAAAATCATCACCGATTTTATACAATGACCAAAATGTGTGATTGCTTTCATTATATATATATATATATATATATATATATATATATATATATATATATATATACCATCATAATATATACATAATAAATATATACATACATACATATATATATATATCATCATGTATACATCATGTGGAAGTAATACATTTGATGAGGAAATCGATTAAGCTGTGTCGCCTTTCTACGAATCAAGATCGACTTATGCCGAATTTTATGCCAGCTGATGCTTGAAACAACTTAATAAACCATTCGATATCATTCATTTCTATCGAGCGCCATCAATGTATCATCATGTATTAACGTCTAAACAAACTGATTACTCAATAATAAAAATTACATTTGTTCGTACGCGAAATCATTGTGTACATTATCGTCGAGAAACGCGCTGCTTATAACTTGAACGTCTTGCGACGATGTATGCTTTATTATTTAGTTTTGTTCACGTAGAATGTGAAAGAGACAGAAAAATAGATCAGTTACGAATCGAATTTCAAAGTTCTTTTCATTCGTTCTCTTAATATACATGTATACATATACATATATATATATATATGTATGTATGTATGTATATATATATATATATATATAAAGGAGAAGGACAGTTTTTGTATAGTGAGGTAAGGGAATTCAAAATATGGTATCGCGAAATATTATCTCCTACCGCAAATTTACCGCAAATAACGATGCATGTGCTGTGTGTGTGTGTGCATATGTATGTATGCGTGTATACACACATTCACTCGTACATACATACAAATATACATATGTGTATATGTGTGTATCTATTATATATATAATTATGACGCTTATGATTAACAAAACAAATGTGCGATCTGCACTGAGCAGCTTTTGCTTTGAATCTATTAATTTCAAGTAGATTAAGTTTAGATGTACTTAAAAATTTTCTTTATATATTCTAGCATGGGTGTTTGCATCTGGTATTTATGGAGCGTGCACGTACGCACGCATATACATACACACACACACACACACACACACACACACACACAGAGAGAGAGAGAGAGAGAGAGAGAGAGAGGAGGGGGAGGGGATAGTGATACAATAATTATATATTTCACCATAAAATATGCATTTTGCGTTTTGTTCAAACTGGTACGTACAGTGATCTTTTAACGTGAAGGTGGAAGTAACTTGTGAATGAAATATTAATTATATATAACAAATTAATATAAATATCTTTAGATGTATATTGCATGCATATGCATATCTTCGCCAGCTATCATGGAGTATTAAAAGTGTCAGACGAGATTTGTGCGATATTATTTCCTGAATCCTTGTTGAAAAGTTTCTCTGGCAACGTGATTCTGCGAGGATGGATAAAAAATGTTTTCTGTGCTATATATAAAGTACCTCTTATAAAAGTCTCTTGCAAAACACTACATTCAAAGCTTGCAACGTACCAGTGAAACACCATTCTCAATGAAGACTCGGTTACTCATCTTCTTCCCTATGCTCCGTCCCCTTTTTCTTCTCCCCTCCCCCACCCTATAACTATCATTACTTTGATTTAATACATATGAATACTCTCCAAATGAATCACGCATCTGGATGTATATCATATAATAATAGTGAATTATGTATGTCTCTATATCCATTAGTACGGATAATAATACAAAATGTTAATTGGCATACATATTATTCGTGTGCTTCTGTACTAAATCGTATTGCATTGAAATTTTATCTGCGCGGCGATTGATAGCGTTTCTTACAGAACTCTCGTTAGAAGGGAAGGCATTGTTCATCTTGTGATATCTTCCGTAAAAGCATCACACGTATCACGATATAGGCAAGGAGATCTTAATTATTTTCCATCATTGTAATCATCTAACATCTCTACAAATATCTCTAATTTTTCTAATGGAACTGTTCGGAGCTGTTTCATTTGGACGATAAGATACAATTATCCATATATGTAACAAAGAGTGACATAATCGTGAATAAAAAATTCCGATCTTTATCGTACTATCGATTTAACGAAGGACGGAAATGAAAAATAGCGTGTAAGTGGAATGTAGATTGACGTAAGTACGTCGACAGAAACGAAAATTTTAAAGAGAAGAAAAGGAACTTGTGTTACAGAAAGAGAGAGAGAGAGAGAGAGAGAGAGAGAGAGAGAGAGAGAGAGAGAGAGATATTTCATATCTTACAAATGTAAACCACTTTTTACGAAAAAAAGATACGTCTGCTTCTTTCCGAATAGTTTACAGTATGTTTCGTAGACGGTACATAAATCATATAGATTATACATTTACAATTTACAAGCAACTCTTACTTATAAAGAAATTGATTCCCCCCCCCCCTCCCCTTGCCACGTCAATATTTCATATATAGATTGTAAAACTTATCATGCGCAAAATAGATAATAGTAAGTTTTGTCGTCATTCGTTAGTGATCATATCCGTCTTACAAAAGGAAAAAAAGAAAGAAGGGAAAAAGCGAAAAGGAAAAAAGGATAGAGAAGAGGATATCAATACTACGACTACTTTGAAAGAAGTAGAAAACGTTCGAGCGTTGCGCAGTGCCGTTGTAAGAGCGCTGCAACTGTATCTGTCTGGAAGTCTTACGGAAAATCTTACACGCTTGATATTCTGCGTTTCCATTTTCCAAGAGCAAAGCTTTCGCTTTCTATTTTGGATAAAGAGAGGAGAGCGATCGGACCAAAGTATAAAAGGCGCGAGAATACGTTCTATGTACGAACTGTAATCTGTACAATACGAAACAGAATATTACCATCCATTAGAGCGATGTTATTCAACACGTTATTCGTCAAGTCTTTTTTCTTCAGGAAGAAACGTAACGAGTGTGCGGTGCGTGGAGTGTGCGTGTCCTAGGAACTTTCAAGATGGACACACACACACACACACACACACACACACACACACACACACACACACACACACACACACACACACACACACACACACACACACACACAGCTTTGAAAGTTCCTAGGATCGCTAGGATTAGACATTTATCGGGCTCTTACGCAACTCGTGCCCGATTATTTAGGATTCCGTTTGGAACGCTTCTACACTGCGTACACGACTATCATGTACGTCGCACTAATCGAGTCTTTGTCCCATGTGTCAGAGACAAAAGTCACTGGACATGGTTTGCGTTCTTTATGGCAACTTTAGTCAATTAAAAAAGTGCAAACGAAGGCAGTGACGATTATGAGTTCAGGCCTTGACGTTTCTCCTCTTCGAGCATGGCATCCAATTCGTCCGTGAGGTTGGCAAGCATATTTCCGATATCGTTTAAAACGTCCGCGGGTTCACTCCCACTGGAATGATGATTGACTACGTGGCCGCTGATAGCGCTATTCGGTCCGGCTGGCACGTATTCTTGCGCTCGACCAGCCCTTTGTTTTATCGTGCCAGCATTCTCATTAGCGAAGGGCAACGAGTCCGATTCGGTACTGGAACTTGACTACGAACATCAAAACATGGGATAAAGTGATGAAAACACGAAATGAACATCGATATGAATCTACGGGCTAAATTCGTGATAAAGAATCGAATTGCGTAAAGTTCTCGCAGCACAAGGCGTTTTGTGCATTCCGATGAAATTTCGCATTTTCGCGAGAAACAAACGTACCTTGAAACTGGCGTCCGATCCGTTACGATGCTGTAAAGCGAGAGAAGCGATTAGCTCGTGCTCCTCGTTAACGTTGACACTGACGCTGCCCCAGGAGCGTGATATGGAGGAAGGCGGCCGATTGAGTTGCGGTGGTGTGGAAGGTGCCGGTGTGGGTGCCGGCGGTGGCGGCGGCGGATGACGAAGCAAATGGTGATGCTGATGATGATGCTGGTGAATGTGATGATCGTCGCACGTAGCAGTCGGCACTGGCCCGCTGCAGTCTATCACGACGTCACCGACTGCGGAGCCAGCTACACCCACCACGGAAGAGCCGGTCGCGTCTCTGGAACTCTGTCGCCTTGGTGGCGATGGAGGACATCGCTTTGGAAGGTGCGGACTACTCTCAAGCCCGTAAGTTAATTGATACTTGTTGTCGAAGTCTCTCGGCAAGGATTTGAATTGACCCGGTGTCGCGGTGACCTGAAACCATAGACGTACACACACGTAGAGGCACGTGTTTGCGTGTTTGCGCGCTGACGGCGCGACGTCATCATTCGTCGTCGAAAATGATGAAGTGTACCTTGGCTACAGGCCGCGGACGAACAAGACAATGTCTCGGTCGTGGTAGAGTGCCGCCGCCGCCGCCGCCGCCACCGCCACCGCCGCCACCACCTGCATCCACCGCGGAAGCATCGTTCGTAGGCGTAAGGTCGCCGTCCTCGAAACTACGTGGACGCCAATCGAGAAGTTGAGGATGCGAGGGAGGCGCCGGTGACGGAGGATAACCGAGAGGGGCATCCTCCAAGCTCTCCAACGATTTTCCCCGGGAGCCAGTACGGCCGACCGTATTGTAATCGACTGGAAGCGCGGCGTACATACTTCTCCAAGCGGCGCCGGAAGCGCTGTCGCTTCCGCCTCTTTGAAAAGATCGGAGTACGGGCGAGGAGCAATCCTCGTCGGGCGATGGTAAATCGGGCCCGCCACGTTGAATAACAACGTCCTGAGAAAGTTCATCGTTTTATTTACCAGGGTAGAATCGCGCGAGCACATGAAGCCGCGCAGGGTGGTCTGGTCTATTGGTATACTTGAGACGAGAGCAATGGTTTTCTTTTCTTTCTACACACGCGGTCGCGATAAAGCTTACTTTTCATCGGTCGATAAAAAATGTCATTTACCTGCGTGTGACCAGGATGTGGCGGCAGGCGTGCTAGATCAAGCGGCTGTATACGCTTGCCAGCGCGAATGTCCTTAACTCTCTTAATCGCCAATAATAATTTCTTTTGATGTCCTAGACGTACGATACCGATGTCTTCGAGATCTTCCCAAGTGATAGTCGTCACGTCTTCGACGGATCGCATACCCTGTTGATGAAGAGCACCGAGATATTCTTCGAGCCTGAGAAGCCTCAGCCATTCTTCCAGTGAGCCGGGTATGTGTTCCGGCAGTCCATCTCCTATATTCAAATTGTCTATCTCCACTTTCAATCGCTTTCTGTGATTGGGTTTCGTAATACCTGCGCAACATGACAAGCAATTAAGTGACAAATTCATTCTCGTCACCTATATTTGACCCGTTTTATCACGCTATTGAGATATATATACGTGTAAATAATAATATATCATAAAGCTTGGCGCGTATATTATATAGAAATGCAAACGAGAGAAACGGCCCAATACGTTGCTGAGGACTTTGACATTTGAAGAGAGAGAGAGAGAGAGAGAGAGAGAGAGAGAGAGAGAGAGAGAGAGAGAGTGAGAGGAGAGAGAGAGAGAGAGAGAGAGAGTGAGAGAGAGAGAGAGAGAGAGAGAGAGAGAGAGAGAGAGAGAGAGAGAGAGAGAGAGAGAGAGAGAGAGAGAGAGAGAGAGAGAGAGAGAGAGAAGCTACTGTATCTGTCCATACGTGTATCCCCGACGATACTATTGCGCGAACGATACACATTTCAATATGATTCATCGCTGCTGAACTCGACTCACCTATAGCTGTAAGATCCTCCGGTGTCATGCGCGTTATAGTGGCAAGATCGTAACCTGCGGAAGCGAACAAGGGAAAGTACTCCTCGAATTGAAGTTCGGTTAACCAAGCGTGAACAACATCGAGATCCGCCGGTCGGTCGGGATGACTTCCGAGAGAGCTAATGGAGCACCTTGGAGAGGAGGCGAGAGCACCGGGTCCTCTGGGTCCCAGATGATATCCGGACGCCCTTCCGGAATCCAATGACGCCGTAGAATGTCTAGAACCGGAACCCGAACCCGAGCTACCTGGACTATCTCTTCCGGGACTCTGGGTCATGTCGATACCTACCAGATATATATTTATTATCGGTAAGTTGAACAAATTGTTGTCCCCTCCTTCCCCGGACGGGAATTATCATCGATCGGAAACTCATCAAATATAATAAGGAGATGATGAAGGATCTCTAAAATCTCCATTCGATCACGTAGTGGTATTTTTCGACCGATTGTTCGTCGAATCGCCACGCCACGCCACGCGACAACATACTCCAGAGTGAAAACATTCCTTTCTCTATCAGTCCTCAATTTATGGACGGAGAGGATCGAAGAGAAAGGGGTCAATGACTGCAACGACAGGGACAATAAAGATATAATCAGCTACGACGAGCAGCTGACACGACCTAGAAGATACTATGTGGCACTTGCGCGCATAAAAATGTTCGCTGATCACATTAGCGAGTGTTTTGGAAGCGTAGGACGCGCGGACTCGTCTGAAAGATGTGACATCTGTTGGTATGACAAGACAAGTTGTAGAAATCTATCTTCTCCGTATCGTTCCGTATCGTACAACGACTGACATGCGCTAAATATGAGTAGTAAAAGTATAGTGTAGTAGAGAACAGTAGAGAACACGGCTGTGCTGCATTCGAAAGCTGCCCGACGGTTAGGCTGCCCTAACTAGTGATAAGGAAGTAATCTATTAATATCGCAAGATAACTCGCACCTTGGTCTTCGGCGTGGGCGTATTTGCCGACGACCGGCGGGAAGGCGAAGCCAGGATGGGTAAAAATAGGTCCCGGACTTTTTCCAGATGGCATCCCGTAGGAACCATCGTCCGTCGTACCTCCAGGGCCGCTTCCGGAGAGGAAGCAGCTATCCTCGCTGCTAGCATATCCAGCCGAGCCAAAAGAGGAACCAGAGTGTCGAAACACGTCTGGTACAGCCGGTGGTGCTACTTTCTTCGCTTGGGTCACGGCTTTGGACGGCCGGCTCATACCGCCAACTGTAACATGCCAACCAAAAAGGAGGCTCTCATGAAATTATTACGATATCGCGAATCAAGCGAATGCACGCGAATGACTTTCGGACTGACGAGTTTTATATTATATTTTAGATTTTAGATGAATGAGGGAAGCTGCGCGTGGTAAAATTACAGACGGACAGAGTACGCGAGTCACCAAGCGGCACCAAGGATCCCGGAGGATCGTGGTACGGCGATGTGATTAACGTCGCTCTTACATCTCTTTCTCATTGCACGATCGTAGTTGGGGCTGGTGAAAATTCATATATGGATGTCAATATAAATAAATAAATAAATAAATAAATGTGTATACACAAAAAAAAACGGTATAGAAGAAGCAAAGCAAGACGGGAAGAACGACAGGACGTGTCAATTTGTCGCGTAAACACCCGTAAAAGACACGTTCTTGCAAAGTTCTGACTTGTCTCTCTCTCTCTCTCTCTCTCTCTCTCTCTCTCTCTCTCTCTCTCTCTCTCTCTCTCTCTCTCTCTCTCTCTCTCTCTCTCTCTCTCTCTCTCCCTCTCTCTCTCTCTGTCTCTGTCTCTATCTCTATCTCTGTCTTTCTCTCTCTCTACCCATAGCACTTGTTTCTTGAGGAGAAATTCTCAAAGACAAGAAAGACATTGCGGGCGTGTCTTTCGTCCAACTATTTGTTTTGCGTGCGAGTCGTCGCAAACGGACGTCGAAGGCGTATAGTGCGCGAAGAAAAGGAAAAACATCGGCGTAACTCGAGTACCGTTTCTCGAACCGAGTTTAGTTTAACAATTTGCCGCATGATGCCACATGATATTAAAGTTCAAATCAAATTTACGAATCGCGATACGTGAACGAGCGCGCCAATTTCTTCACCAATTTCTAGAGAGATGGCTTCTTCTCGTGCGAAGGTCGTCGCGAGTACAGCAGCGCGATGCACAATGCGCTCACTGTGCACAAAGCTGCGTGTTGGTCGAGCCGTTGTCGACAATCGAAAGCGCGATTCACAAACGGGACACACGAACGGGAACACAAGCGGGAAAGACAATCTTCCCTTAATTTCTCTTAATCTTCCCGTAGTCCCGTAGTCCTGTAGTAGTAGTTGATCTCTAAATCGTCTAAATCGTACGTGTATCATTAAGTGGACTCGCGAGCGAGCGAGTAGAGTGAAACACGCGCGCGAATCGACAAATTCTACGCGAGAACAACGATGATGTTTGACAGTGTTCGCGCAACCGATAATCGAGCGGTCTGGCGGCACATGCCTGACGCGCGCGTATCGCGTATCGCGTATCGCGTAGAGGTATACGCGGCAGAGGAATAGGCTCTGATACGCGCGGATCTATCGAAGAATTACAGTGTGGGCGTTTCCGCGCGTCACACGCACGGTATGTGTCGTGTCCGATACACATACCGATGTCAAGAAACGCACACCACTGACGCGTCAAGCGGTCAAGCGTCAGCAAAGGTGTTGTAGATTCATCTTTCGCTTCTCGATCGCAGGTTTCGTTTATTCGTTTATTCGACAAGCGAATCTCTCTTCCTCCCTCCCTCCCTCCCTCCCCCCCATTTGTATGGATGGACGTTCTCAGGAAGTATTTCTAATGAAAGCAGCACAACGTTTGCTCGTTACGTTCAGCTCGCAAGCGCGAGCTAAAACGCAAGCAAGCTCTCGTCGTTATCCTGACGCGCGCGCATCGCGTGTTTCGATATTACGACCTACGACCTACGGATACCTCCTGCAACATCGAAACGTGTAACATTCGAAACGTCAAAAAGTGCCAAAGCAGAAGGTGTACACACACGTACACGTACATCATCAACGTGCATTCGCGATTGGAATGAAACGATAAGGGCGATAAAGTACGTTAGATTATGCGTCGAATGTTTGAAGCGAAATTTCTCAAGCGCGAACGCGTTCATCGCGACGATTCATCGAGGGAACTGATTTTAATGCAACTTTACAAAACTCGCTTACGCGATGGTGCGCGTACGCGTACTACGGCTCGTTGCAAGTTGCAACGAGGCTACCACGACACCACAGAGGTGGTCGACGACAGAGACGGCGCGACGGGATTAACTCTGGTGTAGTCGGTAGTTCGGTCAACAACTTTGGCTCGCACGCGATATCTGAACACGACACGATTGTATGAGAGTGTAGATTTCATCAATTTTCCATACTCCGGCCGATCAAGTTTGGAGACTCGACTCGGGCATACGTAGAAAGAAGAATTCGCGGCGCCTCCGCGAATGCGAAATTTATCTAGACTGTACACGCGAAATCTGTTGCGACATACACAACAGAGAGAGAGAGAGAGAGAGAGAGAGAGAGAGAGAGAGAGAGAGAGAGAGAGAGAGAGAGGGAGAGAGAGAGAGAGAGAGGGAGGGAGGTCCACTCAATCATTTTCCTTGCTTTCATCAAGCTTATTTCCACGCGGCCAAATAACATTGACACCATCTGTGTGTACGTGTACGATGGTCGCGAGAGAAAATGCGCCTTATGCAGTAAGCAGTCGCTCGGCAGCGCGAGTCGGTCCAAAGCCCGAGAGACGCCGACGTAACGACGCGGCCGGAGAGACTGGCTCGCTCCATCTTGGTCTTTCCCTCTCTCATTCCCGGTTACTTGATTCGTTCTCTACCTCTTTCCCTCAACCGCTACGGCCATGTTCCTACTCCTACGTCCTTGTTTGTTGTACCCTCCGCTCGCAGACCCGTTTTGTACGATCGTACGAGCGAGCCGAGAGCGATCGCTTCGCGCTACCATTGCAGTCCACACTGCAGGCAGAAACAACGAAAGCGTAAAATTCATTACGCAACCAAAGTGCCGAATGAGATCAGAGACAGAGAGAAATGCACGCCACGAGGCGTGCCTATCACAGGCTGATAGACTAATATACTTTGAGTCACGTTGAGTCGACTCTACGTGATTGTACCCAAAATTATACACGCAAGCTGAATGATGAGAGAGAGAGAGAGAGAGAGAGAGAGAGAGAGAGAGAGAGAGAGGACGATTCTACGCTAGACGAGACGAGACGAGAGCGAAAGATCTATCGTTAAAGTAACACGCGCGCGCGCGTATATATATATATATATATATATATATCTTCTATGTCGCGGAGAAAAAGTCGCGCATCGGGTTTCGAGCAAGCAATAGCTATTGCTTCCCTGTAAGCTTGACGTTCGCCGACTTACGATGCAAGAGATTTTTCCAGCTCCCATAGATCGCCCTGATGCACTTGTCCAGAGACGTGACGTAGCGCGTTTCACGCGCGAATAGATTGCCTTCGGAGCAACTTTTGAATAAACCTTGCTTAGTAGCGACCGCGGTTGCTTCGCCCAGACGCACTTTCCTCCCCGTTGAGCTCTCGAGGATCCCGCGAGGTAGCCAAGCTTCTAAGGCGGGATCGCGGAAACTCGTGTAAGTGGACGACAGCTTTTTCGATGACTTTTGCAGAAATCGCTTGCCAGGTGGCAAGGGTGGGGGACCCAGGCAGTTGGTTACGGCGGTGATCGCCATTTACAACTTCGTCTCGTGCCCAAAGCGTGACCCTTCTTCTCAAGCTTAAGCTCGATCAACCTCCGCGCTTCCGTCGCGACACCTCTACGTGTAGAAATGTAGAGTGCACGGCGCGTTCATCCAGTTAGCCTGAGCAACGACTACGCGACAAACACGGAGAAATAAGGCTCGATCGCATCACGACGTAGAACGTCACGTTTGATGGACGATCGGTAGACGCGCGCGCGCGTTCTAGAATAAACTAGAAGCCAGCCGACAGTCTACCCGACGACGACGACGACGACGACGACGACGATGACGACGACGACGACGACGACGACGACGACGACGACGACGACGACGACGACGACAACGACGACGACGACGACGACGACGACGACGACGACAACGACGACGACGGCGACAGCGACGGCAACGGCGACGGCAGGAGGAAGACACAGGAGGTAACAGCACAGTACAGCGCAAACAGAACTATCGAAAACGTGCTGACTCGAGCGCAAGCGCAGCCGGCCCGGTGAAACCACGTTGGTGGTGGGCAAATGCGAAGGGGCGAGGTCGAAGGTGGGTGAACGGGTTCCGGAGTCCGGCGTGGGCCGCCCCTGATTCTCTGTGCCAAGCTACCTAGCGCGTAGGTAGCATTTGAAAAGCGCAGCATGTGAATCGAATCGAATCGAATCGACTCGACTCGACTCGACTCGACGTCGAAGTATGGACGTATGGACGTATGGAAACTGGGGGAGAGAGAGAGAGAGAGAGGGAGAGGGAGAGGGAGAGAGAGAGAGAGAGAGAGAGAACAACCGGTCGCGGAAGAGGGGAAAAAGGGCGACCGACGTTTCATTGATCGAGCGACCGGCTGTGTCGCAGTGCGTTTCACAACAGCCACGGCGTGCCTCTTGCTCCAAAGGTTGCCGATACGATTTAAGCGCCCGTCGCGACCCTAGCCCCTTCTAGGGGAAGAAAGGAGAAAGAAACGCACATCGAGTGCGCCGCGTGCGATTTTGCTTACCCGCGCGGGTCGGAGGGAATGTCCTGTTTGCGCGTTGAGTGACCTTGCTGGGAAACGCTCGGGGTTATTACAGGGAAAAAAAATCACAGATTAAATTTTACCAACTTGATAATCCTCGATGAACTTTCGAAACTTTCGAAACTTGGAAGAATCATTGTCATATGGTTCGTTGCAACAAGAAGCAGCGACTCGTCGTCGTCGTCGTCGTCAATGTAATTTTGTCGACTCGGAGAGATTGGAAATATTTATCAGGACGGACAATCTCTCGCGATATGAAATCGATCGATCGTCATTTAGCACGTGTCCAACTACTAAGCGTAGTCGAAAGATACATGAACGTACAAGGCGTCAGAGCGTGCACACAATCTCGGACACTCGTACACTTGGTCGAACGACAAATATACGCGAGGTACACGTTGACGGAACGAAATGTCGGTGTGTCTGCGTAGCACGCCGTGAGATCGAATTGATACAACGTCGACATATCGACATTTTCAAGTACGTCTCTTTTCTGAAAGACACAAAGAAGAGAAGAGAGAACGTGCGCGCGCGCGCGTGCGTTCTCTCTCGCGAGAAGTAGCGTCTCAGGGTTTTGCACGACGACTCTAGTCTGCCCTCTTGTACTGTTATAAAAGGACAAAAATTGTTCTCTCTCTCTCTCGCTCTATTCTGCTTGTGCAGTAAAAACGAAAATTTGAGAAACAATCTATCAGTCGAAAAAGAGTGAACAATTTCGCTCCGTTTAATCAATCAACGTCACAAAAGTGATATCGAATTAGATAGATCGAGAGCCAGAGTGAAACATCTTCCAGCCTTTATACGACGGAAAGAAATTGCCGATGTGGACGTGACTTTAAGGACGCTGGACGACTTCTTGGTGTTCTCGCGCGAACGAAAAAAGAAAATTTAAACAAAACGAAGAAAAAAAGAAACAGAAAGGAAAAGAAACACAGAAAAAGAAATAATGCGTGGCAACTTGCGACCGGCCCGAGCAATTTGCATAATGCATCGGGGTGGACGATCGCCGAAGTGGATCCTCGTCAAGGACGAGCAGAAACGAGTCGCTTTGCCCTGCAATTATGACCGATCGATCGTTTTCTATTATTGATTTATATTCTTTATGACTCTTCGTGTATCGGTACTTCGAACAGAGCGCGGGAAAAACGACATGAATCATTCATAGAAAGAGTAGAGAAACAGGAAACGGAAAATGAGAAATTTGCTCTAATAACGCGATACACGTATACGAGGAACGAAAATGTTGTCGTTAAATGAGCTTGTAGCTTGTACGCTGTGCGATCGAATCTTATTTAAAAGCAAATGAAAGAGTTACTTCTTTTTTGCAAAAAGTAAAACATGTATCCCCCCCGCCCCCCCTCTCTCTCTCTCTCTCTTTCTCTCGTTCTCTCGTAGTCTCGTAGTCATTATCCCAGTTTCCACGTTTGCGCGTACGCGCGACGAGATAACGCTGACAGCCAGATCAATAATCAAGCGGTGCGGCGAATAATTGCGAATAGGAGCATTGTTGATAAAATTTCCCCCGCGGTCATCGGCAAAGTGTGTCAGCGAGAATATCGTCGCACGTCGAGAGGAAACGAAGCAACGGCCGCCTATTATCACGCACTGATTTCTCTCAGTATTTAATTACAATCGAGAGGCAGCGCGGCGCACATATTGCCATTCGAAGAAATCATTTTCTCAACAAGTCTTTTGCGTTTTCGTGTACGCCTGTCGTTTCGTTCTTTTTCCGCAAAGTGGCTCGAGGAAAGAAAACAAATTTCACAAGCAAGCGACGAGACATATTGAAATATTTGACAGCCGAAAATAACGACGGAAAGGAGAGTTCCCCTCATCCTTCAAATTCATTTCGTTTCGAACGGCGGAGAATTACGAAAAGCGCGGCGACATAGACGTTGAATAGAGCTGTACCATCGATGGCACTTACCGCGCGATTTTACGAGTTGCTTCTCTCTCTCTCTCTCCCTCTCGTCTCTTTTCTTTTTTAAACTTTCTTCCCACCTTACAGACTCCACTCTCGCAGCCAGCACCAAACTATAACGAATCGATACGTCGAACACGATTCCTCGAATGCGAAGTCGGGAAAAGCGAGTGTTTATGGATAACGGTTAGAAAAGCGAGTATGTGTGTCCTGCGAACGCCCGAGAACGGCGCGCGCGTATCATTGCTATCGCGAGAGTAAGATCGCGGATATTGCTACCCGACACGATCGTGCGATCCGCTTTTATTACGAGACAAACATTAAAATATTCAGTCCTTCATATATCCATCTTCAAAACACCAAAAGTTGGAACAATTGAGCGTTAAAGAAATTCCTGAACGAAAGCTAAAGCCTTTCTCTCTTTCGGCGTTAAGAGTTCGCAAAACTGCGAAAAACCGCATAATTCCAATTCGATGAGATCGGTACTTGAGAGAAGGGCAGTTCTCGCTGTGTATTTTAACGAACGTGAGTCGCAATCTAACCTCTACCCTGCCGAGTTCGTCAGCGATTTCGTCCAATTCGGCATTGGGTAGGATCCAAGCGCACTCGCGTACATCGAAACTGCTGATTTGGTTGTACGTGATGGAATAAGAGAGAGAGAGAGAGAGAGAGAGAGAGAGAGAGAGAGAGAGAGAGAGAGAGAGAGAGAGAAAGAGAGAGAAGGGGGGAGAGTGCATAATAAGGATGCGGGTGAATCCAAGCTTTAACCGCGCAACCGCACCTCGAATCGCGTTGAAATCAAAGTTAACGAAGCTCGCATTAGTTTCACCACGACCGCAATTCGATCGGAACGAGGATTCCAGAAGAACCGCGACATGAAAGAAATACGAGATATAATATAGATTTCAATCGCTCACTGTAGTTAAAAATTTTTGCACAAATGTATAGCGATTAATAACAACCGTCCAATGTGAGTGATTTTCGTGCATGGGACATGCTTACGTTTCCGCATTTTTCGTTTTATCTCGGGATGAAGCTAGAAGACCTATGACGCAATCTAGGGGCGCAATCTTCCTTCGTTCAATGATAAACATAGGTAAATGACATCATTCATCATTTACAAAAAACGCGGTTTAGGACGGGTTGTAGATTCCTTTTAATTTACGACGCCAACGAGAATCTTAAGAACTTTGCTAATGAACGACGGAGCGGAGAATTTTGCCCAGCTCGCCATGACTTGTCTTGGATTGGCTTGAGACTCCACCGCGAGTTTCCTATTGTCGTCCGAGCGAGAGAGGATTAAACAATCTCCGCAACGCGCGATTCTCATTCTCATTCTCATATAGCTACTTCTCAAGAAGTTGATATTATTCGTGTCGTATATTTGGTAGAAATATTGCTCTTCTCTTTCTCACTCTATCTTGAAGCACATGGGGAATCGTTGTCGTCGCAATTTAATCTCGTTTTCGTGATTCGACATTGAAGACCGTCATCTCGACACCATCAACACAACTGGCATTTCTGCGAAAACGAAACGAAACACTGCGATGTATATTAATATTCAGAGTACTAGATAACATTGTGTGATCGCAGCTCTCAAAATATATCGGTCATGGTAATTTATCGGCCGCAAATTGACGCGAATTTTCGTGAGTTGTTCTCTAGCGAATTTTACATGCAAATAATTTGTTCTCTCTGTCTCTCTCTCTCTCTCTCTCTCTCTCTCTCTCTCAATACACAGGTGTATGTGTGTAGCGATAAACACTCGGGTAGAAATTGAATATACATGTGATGTCATTTACTCTTCAATTGCATGCGACAAATGTAACGTGTGGCTTTCTCTTCGGCATCGCCTCGGTGCAAGTACAAAAGTCGCGAGAGGAGACACCATTGGAACGAGCAAACTCTACAAGACTTGTAACAGATAGAATGGACAGAATCGGCGCGTAGTATTTATTATACACGAGCTATCCCGATATATATACACAAGGATCGTGTGTAATCTTGATAGCTGCAGAGGTTTACGATTGCGAGAACAGATTGCGATTTACATAGAAATTGGCTGCAAGTCGGAAAACTCGAACGAAATACAGACTCCCGTGATTAATGCACAATAAAGCGACGACAAAGAGTCACACTTTTGTAAAGACAGGATCGAAGGAAGGAAGGAACGTGTGCAGAGCGTACAACACCGCGGCGGCGGCGTTACAACGAACGCGGCGCTACTAGCCGCGCGGCAGAACGTAATCGCGTCGACCTGACCGAAACGCGAGAAAGCGCGAAAGTCGAAAGCTACGGAGAAGAAGCTATTTACGCGCAATTTACGCGGGCGGGATGAGGACAGTAGCGCGCGCGGACGCGCGGACGTGCGGACACGCGCGATCGCCGTCGAAGGTCGAAAGGCGATCGCGCGAACGATGACTTACCGCTGATGCGTCTCATGGCGGCTCACGACGCGGCTCGCGTCCGAGATCCGTCGTCGAGCTACTCGTTGCACCGTCGTGATAACGCGGATGGTAGATCCTCTCGCGCGACCTCGTGATAAATACCACCATACCACAGGACTCCGCCACCGATGTATCATCTATGCGATGCACACGTCGTCGACTCCACGGCGCGACACGATCGCGCCATTGCTCGCGCAAATACCGCTTCTCGCGACGCTGCACGATTACGCGCGTAACGTTAATGGACGACGACGGTGGTGCGCGCCGCCGATCTCGCTCCGATCCAAGATTTACTCGCGCGCGTCCCCAGAGCCGCTTGAGAGAGAGAGAGAGAGAGAGAGAGAGAGAGAGAGAGAGAGAGAGAGAGAGAGAGAGAGAGAGAGAGAGAGAGAGAGAGAGAGAGAGAGAGAGAGAGAGAGAGAGAGAGAGAGAGAGAGACCACTGCCGGATCCGACACAACGAGAGCACGAGAGAGACTTGAGAGAAGTTCGTCGCTTCCGCGAGAGAGCGAACTTGCTTTTGCCACGTCACGGGTATATCACACGAACGCGGGGAATCAAGTTGGAGAACAAGGTGTGCGAGAGGAGCTAAGAGGGACGAAGAACAATACGATTGACGAACACACGGCGCAATGCACGCGACACTGCAACGACTCTTCTCCTCCTCCCTCCTCTGTCCGGCACGGCCGCGGCGCGGTTCCCCCAACTTCGGCTCCGACACAATGCCGATTAATGCGTCAAGCCGCCGCTAGATTGCGGGAGCTCTCAGTAAACGTGAATCTTATCGAAGCCTATCGTATATGGTGGAGCGTGTTAAGAGGAGGAAGCGTCGAGAGACGAGAAGAGAAGAGAGGCCAGCAAACTCCAACGAGCCTGCGCCACCACTTGGAAGTAACTGAAAAATGTCGACAAGGGAATGCCACATATAATAGCACATCGGTAAAAATTTTACTACCGCGGACACCACCGCGGTAGTGTCCGATGTAGTAAATCAGATTTATGCCACTTTTGACAATTTTGATTATTATCAGACAGGGTACTTCGCACACACTTTATCCGCGTAAGGGCTCGGACACTTGAGGATCTACAGAGACCCCTCGTGGAGATCCGCGAAATAAGCAAAGGTATCTCCCGTTTTTTCACCAAAATACACTGTGTGTGTGTGTGTGTGAGAGGGAGAGAGAGAGAGAGAAAGAGAGAATCACCTTATATCACTTATAATTATGATATTTTTAATCAGAAGAATTGTACGCAGAAAATGTTGAAGAAAGGCTCGAAATACTTATCGCCTGATTTATTTAGAGTGGAACATTGCACCAAAGGTGATAGTTATTCAATTAAATAATTCAACGATTTATCACGCACGTCAGCGATCTCTTCGTCACTACTCTTTTTAACTGTAGCTTTTACTTCCGGTCGGCTATAGCTTATATTTTGGATACGTAGCTTCTCTCGCTCGAGGTCAAGAAAGCACCGTGCTACCGTGCGAGTGCTACGCATATCGGCCGAAAGAGCTTCGTGGTGCACGGTAATCTGTGTGGAATAGAAATTGTACGCTACGACACCGCGTACAACGTTGAACGCCTCGACGCGCGTTTTTACTACTACTACTACTACTACATTAATTAATGAGATCTTTATACATTATATATATATATATATATATATATGTATACTCACAAAATGTATAGCTATCGCATTTCTTACATATACATATAGTTAACACACAACTTGCAACAATCAGTTCCGGAAAAAATTGTTTACTCTTGGAGGTAACTGACCGGAAGACATGTACTAAAAGAATTTCAAGGATCAAATCAAGGTCGAAAACGTGAATATGTACGAGTAAAATCGATTAGCCTTGATTGGGTGCGATGCGATCTTTTCCGCGAAAATTCCTTTAAAGGATGTTTTCAGTGAATATATCGGGGAGTATACGTTACACTTGTAACGTTTTCGATTCAAGCGAACTTGGACCCGGATTATTAATTTTAACCAATCACAAAGCTTAAAGAAGCTTGTGCTAAAAAGAAGTTAGTAATCTTCGGTTCAAACCCGCCACAATCGAAAACAATATTAATATGCGACGAAATCAATCTCGCGAAAGCAGTTGAGAGAATGAGAAGATATACGAGAGAACGGAGAGAACGAGACAGGTACACGTGATGCAAAGCGGCGATGAGGCAAAGCGACTGAGCAAAATTACCATGGCGACAGACCGTAAGCTTTTCGATCTCTCCCTCTTCAGTGGTCTTCTCTTATGCTCGTTCCTCTTTCCTTCCTACCTACCTACCTACCTACCTACCTACAAAGTTGCATCTACGTTTTGTCCCTACGCGCGGTGCGGTTTTTTCCTAGTTCCAACTGTGACTTTCGACTCACCCAGTCTCTGCGAATTTCACCCCTTGTTGGTAGAATATCGCCTCGTGGATGATACCATTTGTTCGATGACGCGTTTCGCATGAGGGCGAAGAAGGTTCGCTCATACTCTCGGTGATATCCCTGTGCGCTTCTCGTCCTGTTCTTGCACTTTCTGTTTTCCACCGCCGTCGTCGTCGTCGTCGTCGTCGTTGTTCTTGTTATTATCGACTTATCGATGTCGTTGCGTGCTCGTTCAAAGTTTGCCTGTTCGTCTGTTAAGAACGGCCTCCTCTCACACTGCCATCGTAGTGACGACGACGACGGCAACAATAACAAGACTCGTGACTGAGGACGTCGATGTGCGACACGAAAAAATCTTCTTGACAAGCGATTACTTTGGTTTACACTGAGGAAGTCGAAAACAGTTCGGTGACGAAAATTACTCGCGGCTTGTTTTGTACGGGACCCTATACTGTACTAGCAGGGCCAACAGCGCGAGCGACAAAGAAAGAACATCGGAGGCGAGATGCTTACATCTTATATCCTGTGCACAGTATCGATGCGATCGACTCCAAGCCGGACCTATGTCGCATCACTATGTATATCTTAGCGTTACTTCTTTTTTTCTTTCCGAATGATTTGTTTCATTTACGTTGTTACGTTTATGCGCGAGAGCGTGTTTCACGTGAAAATTTTTCAGCGAAAATTATACCTGTAGAATCCTTCACAATACCTTCCACAAACGTCCGAGAAAGGAGAAGGCAAGAAGAAAAGATTTGTCGATTAAATCTGTTAGGCTATCCATTTTCAGAAGAGATGTACGATTGTACAAGCGACTCTTTATTCACTGTAAAAATTAGTAAGAAACACGTTTTTATTTTTTACACAAAACCCGATGCTATCTAGAATTTTTCGTTCTTGCATGTTCTTACTCATTTCTAATACAGATACGAGTACACTTACAGAATGTTCACTTATTGTGTCATATAAATCTAATTTCTCGTCGTATCGATACATTATTACACTGAAATGAGAAAAATATCGAGAAACAAGATTTACATTCCTATAAAAAACAAGAAACACATTCCATAAAAGTGCGCAAGTAAATCGAGTCACAATTTAGATAAGCTACGATTAGCATATTGCTTACAATCAACAATCACTTGAACGTTAACAACTGAATAAACATGTTCACGAATATAATTCGCCCAAAAATTGTTACGAGACTATCGTTGGCATCGCCCGAAAACGTTCTCTACTACTTCATACAAATGAAATGAAATAATAATAATAATAATAATAATAATAATAAAGAAAAAACAGGAAAAAGTCGCACAATTATAATTCTCGCGATACATATTCGTACATAAGTATATGTGTGTATATATCCTAAGAAAATGTTATTATATAAATACCCCATTCGATTATCTTTATATGTGTTCACGTGTTGCGTAAGTTCGATACATGTAGGATAGTAGCGATATAAGTAAGGTAGCATTCTGAAAGGAACAAGTTGGAGTTTGTTGATTAATCCAAATGTATATTAAATATATACTAAATGAAGCACAAAAATATGTACAAACAAGAGACGGGGAGGACGGAGTCGATAATTCTTCTACAAAATATCGAGAGAGTTTCTAACAAGAATTTCTATGTGAAATGTGAAATAGAGATTTATTAAACGTTTATCAACGTTACTGGCGAGAAAAGGGAAACAATTTGAACATCTCTCTACATTTTTCTTATTTTCCTTGAAAAGAAAAAAGAAGAAAAGAAAAACAATATGGAATATGACTATATATTTCCGAATATGAATTTGTTGAATTTTGACACATACCAGAGATGCGTATTTGTGTCTATATATTGCAGCTTTTTTTAGTTATAAATAATATATAATTTGTATAAAACAATATCAATATGTCAAAGAATCTTTTCTTACATAATGCGTAAGTACCAATAAATAAAGATCCTCGTGTGTATGAATTTCAGAAACAAATTTCTTCTTGGTTTACTTCTTTTTGAGTTTTCTTTTTTCGAATTTCTTCCACTTATCTATTTTTGTTTTTCTATGTCTATCTTCTTCCTCGCCGGTACTCTCGTGCGTTACAATCGATTCGATCGCAATGATGTAAGAAATAGGAGAGAAAGCGTTCGTTATACGCAATGCGGGATGCGGAATTCAGATTTGGCAGATTATTAACACTTGGATCAAACTAGTAGTTCGAACCTTTGACTCGGACTCCAACTCTTCGTACACATATTTTGCTCACATATTGAAAAACATGATTCAGTCACCGCGTGTTTTCACAGGCTGTTCCAGTACATTTATACACTCGTAAATATACCGTCGCGGATCTCTCTCTCTCTCTCTCTCTCTCTCTCTCTCTCTCTCTCTCTCTCTCTCTCTCTCTCTATCTCTCTCTCTCTCTTTCTAAATTGTTTGTTGGAAAGGAGCAAGCGAAGATCCCGAACGTAGCATAGACTTTGGAATCTTCGACGACTTGTGCTGTCGCGAAAGTGTACAAGTGAGATGACTGGAGTTTGGAGAAATGACACAAATGATCAAGTTGTAGTTAAACGGTGCGCAGAACATTCGATACATTGTCACCGATCAATGGCTCTTGTAACAGTCTCGAGTTCAAATGTACCCCTCGTCCTTCGCTTCGCGATTGTACGCGTTGTAAGTTCAGACGTTGGAAGTTTAATGGGTAAGATATTCTATATTATAAAATAGACAAAAATAATGGATCGCTTAATTTCAAGTATTACCAGGGATTACTTGGAAAATTTCAGTCTATCTGTTAAAGCTTCGAATACTGGAATCAAATTACTATAAACCTACAAAATGTGCACGAGTCGCGTTACGATATGGAGGCTTTAAATACTTATGTACGCATTACTATATCGTACAACGTGCCGTAAGATTATTTTGTAATTCCGACAAAGAGCGAACGCGCGGGAGGCGGCAGCACACACATCGCATAGAGCAGATGCTACCGTTTCTTCTTCATACCTTTACGGTACCCTTTACCGAACCAACCTGGATTCTTGGGAGACGCTATAGGAGTGTCCGTGTGAATCACCAGCGTACTTTCCTCTTGCTTCTGTCCGTTTTTAGTTTTGTCTGGTGCGGGACAGTCGCCGTCACGTTGATAATACAGACAGGAGAGAGAGCCCTCGTGTTCCATACAAAACGAACAAGCTGGCTTGGGTTTTGGTGCTTCCGTTGGTGCGTTCGGCACTTGTATGAAAGGATAATAAAATACCGGTGTTAACTGAGGATACATGTACATAGGAGGAAACGGCAAGCCCATGGATAGAAACGGTAACGCGGTAAAAAATGGCGCTTGGTAGGCAGTTGTTGCGGCGGTCACTGTTACGGCCGACACGCAGTCTTCTTCTTCTTTATCATCGGTTTGTTGCACTGTACACTTAACATTCTCATCACTACTTTGACTCAGAGGCTCTTTCTTAATCGGTGGCTCTTCGAGGCACGGTTGAGTCGTGGTGAGCTGCTCGCTGTTTTGCAGTTTTACCGCGTGAAAGAAGATCGGATCTTTCGTACGATTGTACTGCGGTATATCCAAACCAAGATGGCTCATGACCTTCCTCATTACCTCGTCACATTTTCCGTTTATCTTCAATACCGCGTTTTCATCTTTCGGGGTCCATTGCAAGTTGACGATATACAACGAAGCTCTTTTCTGAACAGGCCTGTCCATTTGCCACAACCACGGATACTTCTTGAGAACTTTCAGACTAGAACCCAAACATAATATGACGTCTGCTTGCTTCGCAGCTCTGGTTGCACCGTTCCAATTGATCGGCCAAGAGAGGCTACCTCTTTCGCCAAAATGAACGATAGAATCTTGCAACACCGAATTACATATGTGACATAATCGTCCTGTATGATGTTGATATCGCGCAGTTTTTTCAGTAACGTCGAAGAGCCTCCAGTATTCTCTAGCTGGTTTACACGCCCTACAAACTTCCACATACATATTTCCGTGAACTTCGGAAAGAAGATTACGCGGAATACCACTGCGCAAATGTAAGCCATCACAGTTTTGGGAGACTACGTGCTTCAATACTCGAGCTTTATACAACGCATAAAGTGCCATGTGTGTTAATGTCGGTTCCGCTTGGCTCAGATCGTGATTCCTATTAAAAATGACGAATATGATAATAAGGTTGCTCGTAAATCATTGTCACCTGTCATGTATCACCTGTTGTGTACTATGCTATGTGGATACACATGCGATACACACATGGACAAGTACATATTAAAAAAAAATCACACAGCATGTATGTATACACCAGTATGTACAAGCCAGATTAAATCAAACGTGTCCATACCCAATGTCTTTTCCTTGCTGCATTCGAGTCCAAACTCCATTGGTCCCTCTATAATCCGGGATAGATGCTGCTGTACTGATACCAGCGCCAGTATATACAGCCAGTGATGTCGCTCTACTAATTGCTGCTGCCAAGCGTATGCACTTCTCCTCCAGGATCTCAGGTGCATCTTCGACTTCCTCTAGTCTGGCTTTGATTCTGTCTCGTTTTTCTTGTCTGCAAACAATATCACAAAAAACTTAATTATAATTGAAGAAGAAATTTGGTACAGATCGCTATATAAATGTACATATATATATGTTTTTAGGGGTGCGTATACACATAAATATTGGTAGATTGTTAAAGTAATAAGATCTTACATCGTTACAGTATGATAGATATAGCTCGACAAACATTCTAAAAATATCAAATTTATAGTTCTCCTGTGACACTCCTGTGCATGTTATTTCTCGCAAAAAGAAGAATTTTTAAAAGCAGTAATTCTTAAAATTCACAAATTTGCCAAATAGGCATTACCGTAAATTAACCTCCTTCACCACGTCGCTGCACGAGATAAGTATTCCGGTTTCTTCAGCCGTCCTTTCTATTTCGGACTTTTGTAAAATTGCTGCTACCTGATAAAGAAAGCAAAACACAATTGCTCACTCTTTACAGTGAGAGGGATTTGTTGTTTATGATACATCTACTTGGAAGACGTTGCCGGATCGATTGTTACAGTGTGGAATATATTCTGACGATATGTGAAGAATTATGCCCCCCGCCAGGAGAATATACACACCTTCTTGAGGGTAGCTACTCTTTCATCTTTTACTTTAAAAGCTTTCAAAGCAGCGGAACGTCTTCGTGATAGGAACTTGTCGTTATTCGTCTCCTCCATCTTTAATTAAAACGACGTACACAGTGCCGTATATACCGCTATTACCGCACTCGATACGCGGTACACGTCTTCTATTACAGTTGCTGATTTTCTTCAACGAAAAGTCGATCTTCGTCGGCTTATTTGCACGGAAATTATTTCGAGCACTGACAGATATACATACATTTTGTACCAATATTATTGCCAATGTGTGCAAATGTGCAAAAGATGCAGTGACCTCTGTCATATGGTCGATAATTCAATCACTTCTATAATTCTATCGGTTCTGCCAGTTAAATAATGAAAATAGATAAAGTTCAGTTTGAGTTGTAACTTTTGCAAAAACAGTAACAATAAGTTTGAGAAATATTACAGTTTAAAGATCTATCCTCCCGATTCTCAGATATAAAGTTGACTCATTTCTTGCGGCGCTGCACGAATATAAATAAAGTCCCATTAATTGCTAAGATTCTTTACAAATTTCGTCGAGTTGTACAGTAACCGGAAATTATACACAAGTAATCCCAGATAGCCAGATATGCAAGAACAGATCTGACACAATATCCGTTACAGACTGTCAACATTCGCTGGCAGAAATACGAGAGGATCCGACGGCGGACTATAACGACAGACTGGCGACAGAAACCAAGCAGAATCTGCCATTCTAGCTTATTTAAGTGAAACATACCGCAGATCCTGCTCGCTTTCTGCCACCAATCCGCTGTGATCTGCTGTCAGATTCTATCCATTCAGTTCAGTTCGGTATATGGCCTATGTGGCTTTAGGTAAAAAGGTGTACCCATACGCCATTCTCCATGATTCTATCCATTCTACCAGTGAACTCTCTATAGAAGTCTGTTCTTTTCCGACGAACTTTTGGCACTAATGTACCCCAGCGCAATGTGTTCTTCTATTGGACACAGGAAACGTTGGCTGCGTTCAGAAAACACAACGGTTGAGTAATTCGTCAACGTTATTGGTCAACGAATCGGTAAGGATCTAAAGCCAGCGGCACACGGTGCTTGTTTTCGTGCTGGATTGCTTGCTGGATGAAAATATTGCGTTCTGATTGGTGCATTTTCATCCATCTTCGGAAATGTACCAATCATAACGCAATATTTTCATCCAGCAAGCAATCCAGCACGAAAACAAGCACCGTGTGCCGCTGGCTTTACAGTAAAGACCAATAGTCATTGGGTCTGTTCTTTATAGCTGCACTGATGAAGTAGTACAATAAATTAAAAAGAGACAACTTTGGCTGCATTCAGCAGACTCAGGCCAAGTTCCACAACTTGCTTTAAACGGAGTTTAAAGCTAAACCGATGGTTAAAAGCAATAGTATATGCGCATATACTATTGCTTTTAACCATCGCTTTAGCTCTAAACTCCGTTTAAAGCAAGTTGTGGAACTGGGTCGCAGCAGTTGGACAACATTACTAGATTTTTCACTGAATCTCGCTCCTGATTGGTCAATACTTCTGGGTCTATGAAAAATCTAAAAGAATGCTCCAATCACAGACAATAATCACTAAGCGCTCTCTGATCACTTTGTTCTACTGAACGCGGCCTATATTTTTTCTCACTCTAATTTATTGCACTGGTTCAGCAGTGCAGCTATAAAGAACAGACCCATTAATCGCTCAGGCCCACTTCCACAACTTACTTTAAACGGAGTTTAAAGCTAAACCGATGGTTAAAAGCAACAGTATGTGCTCATACACTATTGCTTTTAACCATCGGTTTAGCTTTAAACTCCGTTTAAAGCAAGTTGTGGAACTGGGCCTCAGTGTGAATGCTTTGTTCTCTGAACGCAGCCGTTGACGCGTTCTATGCGCAAGAACCCTTGAGCCGGTTATACATTTTCTTTGGTGAACACTAAAGCCAGCGGCACACGGTGCTTGTTTTCGTGCTGGATTGCTTGCTGGATGAAAATATTGCGTTGTGATTGGTACATTTCCAAAGATGGATGGAAATGCACCAATCAGAACGCAGTATTTTCATCCAGCAAGCAATCCAGCACGAAAACACCGTGTGCCGCTGGCTTTAACCAGAAAGTGGCGTTGGAGCGGCAACCCATACGCCCAGAGCCATCTATTGAATTGAATTGAATTGAATTGACCCGGTTATACATGGGACGCAAACGTGCGGCAACGCGTTTGCGTACTGTGTGTAACCGGCCTTAGGAGGACGAAGGAGCCGTTACTTACGTTACCTAACCCTAAATTTAACAAGTCTCGAAACTTTTTCAAAACATTTACCAACAAAAAATTCAACGAAACGCCCGAGTGGCTCGAACCAATATTTAGTTTTTATCGCGAGAAATTTTAAGGAAGGTGTTTTAATAAAAATTTATCGCGGAAAATGAATGCACCGCCGACTTTTGAATCATTTTTGTTATACGAAGGAGAGAAGAAGTATAATAAAATATTTGATATCTGTGTTTAGAGCCTACCTTGTTTTCGATTTAAATGTGTGAAAGCTCCCTTCTGACAATCGCATTTTTTCCAGGATAATAAAGGAACAAGACACCAAAGTACCTAATGCCGCTATCTTTACAGTCAACAAAGAGGACCATACACTAGGAAACATGATCCGCAAGTAAACAAACAACAATATTGCTGTGACTGCAATTTTCTATATTTTAGGTTGCCAGTTAATGATAATTTTTTTCTTGTAGTCAATTGCTTAAAGATCCTCAAGTGTTGTTTGCTGGTTACAAAGTTCCACATCCACTGGAACACAAGTTTGTTATTAGAATACAAACCACATCCGATTATACACCACACGAAGCATTTATGCATGCTATCACAGATTTAATTGCAGAACTCTCTTTGTTTGAGGAACGTTTTAAGGTAATGCATGTATGCTGCAGAAGAAAAAGTAATATTGTACATATAATTTTACAAAGAGCTGTTTTTGTTTATTAGGAGGCTATCAAGGAGAAGAAGGAAGGTTTAGATTAAATAAATATATTTGATTGAGATCTGTGCGTGTGGTATGTGTGTGTGTGGTGTGTGTACATATATACATATATATATATATTGTAATTGTATTTTACCTAAATTTGACATTACCTGATTTTGATGAAGTTTATCACAGTTTCTCTAGCTATGTGATGGAAAGAATGTATGCTGTATGCTCTACGATATTACAGATAAAAACAGTTGTAAAAGTAATTTTGTCATTTGCTGGAGGTAAATGTGAATAAGTGGAAATTTTGAGTAACATGCAAATATATTTGGCAACACCATGTCCCAAGTCATAAGACTTTGAATTAACTTTGTACACTGGTGAATATGATATTTCTATGCATTACTGAATGCGTTGCTTATATTTTTGTCAATGTCTTAAATTTTATAACGCTAATTTTCACGTGCTATTTCATTTATCCAAAGAATCTGTTACCGCAGTGCTAGTAAAAATCGAGCAACTTGTTTTTGTGTCTTTACTCTCTTCCCCATTCTACTTTCGACCGTTTATTATTAACCGATCATAATCTACATTTGACGAAAGGAACGAAAGATCTTTGAGACCTTATTCGTACAGACTATAGGTTTATATAAACAGTTATATATAACAGTTATATAGTTATAAATACGATGTGGAATGCAATGCGAGTTTAACCATGGGGTCTGTTCTTTTTAGCTGCACTGTGGAACTAGTGCAATAAGTTAGAATGAGACAACTATATTTTTTCTCACTTTAACTATCGCACCAGTTCAGTAGTGCAGCTAAAAAGAACAGACCACATGACGTTAAGGGTCAATTGTTCCAACTTCGTGGTAAGTTAACTGTTAGTTAAATCATATCTCTGTTTTTGTCTTGGTTGAAGGAAAAACGAAGACAAACATATGATTTAACTATCAGTTTAACCTACCAAGAAGTTGGAACAACCGGCCCTAAATGTAACAGCCGTTCAGCTAAAGCCAGCGGCACGCGGTGCTTGTTTTCGTGCTGGATTGCTTGCTGGATGAAAATGCTGCGTTTTGATTGGTACATTTTCGAAGGTGGATGGAAATGTACCAATCAAAATGCAGCATTTTCATTCAGCAAGCAATCCAGCACGAAAACAAGCACCGTGTGTCGCTGGCTTTAAGCATGTTGGGTCTATTCTTTTAAGTTAAAGTGAGAAAAAATATAGCTATCTCACTCTACTTTACCGCACTAGTTGAGCAGTGCAGCTCAAAAGAACAGACCAACTATGTCTATGGTCAGCACTGATGCATCATTCTGTGTCTTTATCATTTATTACACGTACATACAACAAAGATGGAACGCCATTTCCAATTAGAAATAGTACTGATAACACAGCCTTTTATATACTAACTAGACTGCTGACTTCTGGCGATGGGATGATGGTGGGGTGAAGACGCCATATTGAGAGTACCGTGCGTATGAATTTGTAATATCTGTGATGTGTCACGTGTTTCATTATAGACTACTCTAGTCATATGGATAAAGTGAAGAAATACAGAAGATCAAAGAGGTTAGAAGAAAAAGTAACGAAAAGAAAAAGTGATGGGAAAACAGTGCTGTGTGAGAAATTGTAATATGAAATCGAAATCGAAAAGTGGTGTACATTTGTTTAGGTATGTATAGTATTTGTTTATCGAAACATATTATTTTGGTTAGATTAAATGAAGAGCTGCTTTTATAAGAATAATGAGTAAAGATGAAACATCTTTATATTTAGAAAGAAAAGCACAAGTGAAGGATGCAAGTATCATTTAAATTATCTGTACAATATTGTAGTAACCATGTAGTAACCATGTAAAAAAACATTTATAACACTATTCAGGATAATAACAGGATATATAGTGTCATTTGTCGAATAGTATCTTGTAATATCTTGTAGTATCTTATAATATTACAGGTTTTCCTTGAAAGATGAAAATCGTCTTCATAAATGGATAGCTGTATCTAAAAAACCAAATTGGAAGTCAATTAAGAACAGCAAAATATGTAGTTTGCATTTTAGCAGAAATGATATTATAGCAGGTACGGGATATACTCGTGTAATTTTACGTCCAGATGCGATGCCAAGAGGCCAGTCTTCAAATAATGAAGAAAATGAGCAGTGTAATACATTGTTAAATGTAAAAGAAGTTTTCAATATTGAAAATAGTAAAACCAGTATCTTGACTGACAGTATTGATCATAATTATATTGATAACGAAGCTGCTATAAAGAACACAAATTTAATGGAATTAATTATATACACCTATCGAAAAAGGAGTTATACACCTAAATACAAAACAGATAGCTGTTGAAATGAAACCAGGAGAATATTCCATTATATCCGATACACGAAGTATTAGAAGCAACTCAACAAATACAGACTCAGAGGAAGAAACATCTATTAAGGAGACGGTTCAATCTAAAAGTTTAAAGAAATTACAAAATGAAAATAAAACTGGAAAATAAAAATTGAAATGGAAGTTGCAGAGACGTGATAAAAAGATTAGTTCAATGGAAACAATGCTTAATGAATTACAACAAAAGCAAATCATGGATAATGACAGTTTGTAATTACTAAAAGAACACTTTGGTGGTGTTATGTTCGAAATTATGCAAAATGAAGTAAAAAACCAGAAGTAAAGGTGAACGTTATACAGACGAGGTGAAAGAGTTTGCTTTATCCTTGTATTTTTCATCACCAAAAGGTTATGCATTTTGTAGGTAATAGGTTTTCTTTTTCCCTTCTTTTTTAATGTCCTTATTGTCCGTTATAGATACATTAAAACAACACAGATACTTTCTACAAACGTCTTAATGATGTTCTAACATTCTAAGTATGTTTTTTGAGATGTTCTTAGAACATTGTATGCTGCATGGGCATAAGTTTTATTTTATTAAATAACCTGTTTTTCATAAAAAAATAACTAATTATTAACATTTTCTGCTTTTAACTCGTTTCTTCTTCAATATTCTGTTCTGTTCTTCAATGCAAATAGCTCATACTATTATAAAATATTTTTAAACTCTTTTTATAAAATCTTGCATGGTGTGCAATTTAGCTAGATGTTAAATTTAAAAATTTTTAAAGTTAAATATTTAACTAACTTGTAACTGGTGAATGGTAATGAAACTTGGTATTGTATTTATTGTTGATATTACATGTATTTATGAAAAAATAATTTGTTACTGTTATTCATAGAAAAAAAACTGTGGTGAAGTAAATTGTTGATGTGAAGTTGAAAAAAATGCTGCAATTTTAATATAAAATGGGATCATATTTTTATTGCTTAATAATTGCATCTTGTATATGTTACAATGAAATAATGTTAATGTTCATTATTAGTGCAAACTCTATATATATATTTTTTTAGTAAAATATTACATATTTTCCAGGAAAATGTTCAGATTACCTGCTCCATCAACTTTGAGACAACTACTATTGTCAGTTGATGCAGAGCCTGGCTTCCATGAAAACGTATTATCCGAGATAGGAAAACTGTCGACAGATGATCGATATTGTAATCTCGTGTTAGATGCCATGGCACTTAGAAAACGAATGATATGGGATGATTATAAGCATCAAATGGTAGGCATACCTGATTATGGAAATATGGGACTGTTGGGAGAAATGGATTCCAAAGACAAGATCGCAACCGAGGCATTGATGTTTATGCTTGTTAGTCTTAATGGAAAGTGGAAGTGGCTTATTGGCTATTCTTTTAAAAGCAATATGACATCAATAATGCAGACTGAGCTAATAAAATCTGCATTAATATTGACTGATAAGTATAATATATGTTCATGTTATATATATATATATTTTATATATGCAAGGTTGAAATACATGTTATGAAATAATGTTTAAAAATAAAAAACAAGTAAATATATAAAAGGTTCTACTTCATTACACATATGATCTTTTTTATTCAATCTCATCTGAATTTATATCAATTTTTCCTTTTTTGGCATATATAAATATGTGAAAATAGTTAATAAATTAAGTAAACTTTACACACACACACACGTGTGTATATATATATATATATATATATACATTTCACAATGTTTCCTTATAATAAAGAAAAGAATTACACATTTCTTTTCATATTTCTCTTTATTTTATTTGATTTTTCTATATATATTAAATTTCAATTAAAATATCTAATATTGACTTCAGTAGTGATTGTCCGTGTGATTTCTGTTGCGTGAGCACTGGTACCTTCATGGCGGCATACACCCCTTCCACTTGCGACACGTTTTGCCAGAAGTCAGCGGTCTAGTTAGTATATAGAAGTCTGTGGCTGATAACCAATAACTCGTCTATATATATTACATAATTTGTGCTTCTTTACATTGTGGGGTACGTTCGGGGAGCACGCTATTAGCGCTAACACATTATTCTATCTTTGTCGTTCGTTATTAAATATACAACAAGAATAGAATGACACGTTAGCACTATTTTGCGCTAATAGCGCGCTCCCCGAACGCAGCTCAGGTACTCTATTTGTATAATATGTATCGATTCATTGACTATCTATTCTTCAAGATTGTATGTAACCAATAAAACGTCCATGCAAATGAGTATCCAGTATGGATTTAGGAATACTATAAAGCCAGCGGCACACGGTGCTTGTTTTCGTGCTGGATTGCTTGCTGGATGAAAATATTGCGTTCTGATTGGTGCATTTCCGAAGATGGATGGAAATGCACCAATCAGAACGCAGTATTTTCATCCAGCAAGTAATCCAGCACAAAAACAAGCATCGTGTGCCATTGGCTTTAACAGAGTCTTCTTTCAGTTGGAGGAAGTCTCCTAGTGGCATCTCAACGTAAGTCGTATAATGTATTTTTCACAATTTTTCATATTCATGATAAAATAAATTAAGCAAAATGCGTGATCGTTTCATATAGAAACCTGTTTAAATTTTATTTTTAATAAATTTAATACTTGATACATAGCGATTTTATGCTTATTTTACGAAAGATGCATCGGTGGCACATGGTTCTGTAGTATAGATTGCACACGCTATATATGCATATGAAAATTTAAATATGCATGATACTTGATATAACGTGTGCACACACACACACACACACACACACACACCCACACACACACACAACACCCGCACGCACGCACACACACACACACACACACACACACACACACATCATACGTATCATACATGACAAACGTGTATATATATACACACACACACACACCACACACACACACACATATATATATACACACGTCGGTAACACATATACTTTATATTTGAAATTTTTTCGAATATGCTTATCTGGCAAAAGAAAGTGCCTCGTGTGATTCGCTACTCGATATTCATACACAAATATGCATACAACTAAATGAGTAGTGCGATACATCAATTTCAATTTTAGGATTATATTGATTTTAAGGTTATGTCTAATGTATCTGTTGTATCTCAAGTGCGATTGCTTTTCTATTAATTTACATTTATTTATATCAATATACCTCAAATTGTAATTTATTTCAATGTATAGTATAATTATATGTATAAACATCGCTAGATGAAATATATAATTCAATATAAATATGTAGAAAAATATGTCTTATGTTTCATGTATCCAGAGTAGTATAGTATAGCTTTGTACAGATAAGATTGAAGAGAAAAATTTTGTTTCAGCTTAACTCGTCATTCAACCATAACGTTAAAATGTCGGGAGGTTTAGATGTATTAGCTCTGAAAGAGGATGATGTTACCAAGATGTTGTTAGCTGCTGGCATCCATTTGGGTGCTGAAAATGTAAATTTTCAGATGGAACAATATGTTTATAAAAAGAGAGTCGATGGTAAGTAAACATAGATGGACCGTTATTATTATTCATATTCCTGAGTATATCATACATTCCGCACCAATTTGATTGTCATCTGTAAGATTTTCCACAGGTGCAGGTGTTAGTGTCATCAATCTTTGTCATACATGGGAAAAGCTATCGCTGGCAGCCTGTGCTATCGTCGCCATTGAGCATCCCAGCGAGGTCTTTGTCATCAGCCGCCGGCATTCGGGCCAGAGAGCCGTGTTAAAATTTGCGATTCATACCGGCGCCACACCTATCGCTGGGCGCTTTACGCCTGGTGCATTCACCAATCAGATTCAGGTGTGGCAAATTAGCGTATTTGGCTCTTTGTTACCGAACTCGATCATAAGTCGAGTATTTGAATATTTTTCCTATGCACGAAATAACAGAAAACGCAGCAACATGATTTTCACAGCTTTCGTTTCGCAGGCTGCCTTTCAAGAGCCGCGTCTACTAATCGTCACCGATCCATCCACTGATCATCAGCCCTGATCACCGAAGCCAGCTACGTAAACATCTCGGTCATCGCACTCTGTAACACTGACTGATCCACTGCATTTCGTAGACATTGTTGTTCCCTGCAACACCAAAAGTCTGCACACTGTCGGTTTGATGTGGTGGCTACTTGCTAGGGAGGTCCTGCGTCTGAGAGGTTCCATTCCACGTGAAACCAAATGGGACGTGATAGTGGATCTTTTCTTTTACAGAGATCCTGAAGAGGTTAGCGCCATCGCCATCTCATCATCGCCTTTCTACTTTCTCGATCGGTCTTTTCTCAACTTTTTCTATCGTTCTCGTAATTTTCTCACAATGATGATGAGACAATAGGATCCAGAAACAAATATGTTGGTATTTTTATGGCTTAATCTTTTCTGAAGATGAAGGACTAGAGCTTATATTCGCTGGTACATGCTTGACGCACGATCAGGGAGATGCAAAGTACTACATTTGTCTTCCAGGCGGAGAAGGAAGAACAGGCCGCGAAAGAAATTGCGCTGGCTAAAGAGTTCACGGGTCCGGTAGAAACTACACCCGCTCCGGAACCTGGCTGGATGAACGAAGTCGAGACGACTGCTGCTGTGACCTGTGACCACGGAGAATTGGGCCGACGATGCAGCACCGCCAACAGCCACTGCCGTTACCACTGCCGCCAATACTACGCAGTCTTTCCAGGCTAATGGCGATTGGGCCGCACAGGTGATTTCTTTTTCTCGTCTTCATTTGCTCCTGACGTTTCGTACGCGATGTGCCACACTTTGAAACCTATGTTTCGTCTACGCATCTATGCACGAATTTTCTATTGTTCGAAGTCGATTTTTCTTCAGCAGAAACAAGACGCAACTGATAGTTTCGTTTCTTTCTTCGATTCTTTCGAGCGATTGAAAGTAAATTATTCGAGAATCAATTCTTTTCAGAAGCACAAGCATTCGAACAGGTTTTTATTTCGAGAATCGAGAGAGATATTTAATAGGAAAAGCTAAATACTCGACAAAGAACGAAAATGATTTCCCTCGACGATCGAATGTCCGTGATGATTATTAATTGTAAAGGTATAACACAATCTGTGCGCAGCCTCCTGAAGAGTGGTCAACACCAGTGGCGACTGCTGCTGCTCAGAGCTGGGGAGGTGCGAAAATGGTAAATCTCCTCTCGTGCTTTCTGACATCTTGAGGATAACGACATAGCGCTTTATATAGTATGAACGTGTACAGTTTCCAATAAGATCCTTGAAACGACATTACCAAATTTACCTCATTTTATCGATTTCTCTTATTCAGTCAACCCTGAACGCCTTTGACGCCGTTGACTCGTACTATATCGATAGTAACAGACTTTTGTTGGACACGCAGTGATTAATAAGCTTCTAGCACCATTTAAAGGTGTTGCTCTGAAAGCTCCGTTATCTTTATTAGATCCAAAGTCTATCACAAGTCACCACCAGTTTGTGTTTTCCACCGTCGTGTCGTCGGATGCATATCATGAAATTCATCGTCGAAACGGACAGAATCCGTTCGATGTTACAACTGTTTGGAACTATTAAAACCAGTCCGATCGTTCTATCTGTTAAAGCCATCGCATGTGAAGGAACTGTAACTGTAACCGTAAGGTTGTAAAAAAAATTTACCAGTTACCGTCGATTATTCTCCGTGCGCCAGAGGAACAATCGACTATGATTGGCCAGTTTTCTTACGGTTACTTACAGTTAAAATTCTTCCACGTGCAGTGGCTTTTACTTCGTAGCATATGCGGTTAGGTTAAACTGACCACTCCCTACTTACCACTCCCACTCCACGATGGATCCTACGATTGAGAGTAGTCGGGTAGTAAAAGTCTGTGTAATGTGAAGCTGCGTAATAGTGTAATATCAATGAATAGAACAGCCGATATCGAAGCTGGTGAGCGACGCAGTGTATCACCATACACAGAGAACATCTCATTCGTGGTTGCGAAACTGCGAAGCAACATATCGAGCCACGCAATGGAGCATCACGTGGCGAAAGTGGACCTTCTGGTCCACTTCATCTTTCTACCTGATTTCTGCCGAAATGGTTGCGGACTTGGAAAGGCTTGCGAGGTTCTCTCGGCAGACCCACAGACCCGGGAAGGTTTGTTGAAAAAAATAAAATCGTCTGAAGTATCCACTCTCATTGATAGTATAGCGGAGCGCGTGAAATTTGAAACAAACTTTCCGAACAACCGAATAGTTAGCGTTTAGATCTTGTCAAGTTTCGTCGACAAGTTAAGTTTACTGGACAAAAAAAAACGAATTTATTTCAGTACAGTATCGAGTAATAATTTACTTTCCGCATTTCAAGTACGATATCTTAACACGTTTGTTACTGCGTTTCATTTGGAAAACCTTCGCGAGAAGTATCTTTTTCATACAATTGTACGTAATGTAAAACAGGCATCGTTTACATCGACACAGAAGTAAAAATAATCGTCACGCGTATCTGATGCTGGCAGCGAACGTATTATCGCGTATTATCTGCAATTTAAGAAATAGATCACGTGTAATATTATACGATACGATATATAACGATGTTCAGGCGCCATGCATGCAAGATTTTGGCATTTAAGGAATTTAACGAAACTTGAAGCGACTGATACGGATAGACCAATTTTCAGTCTCGAAGAATCAAAAAAAGGACTCGACAATACGATACGACTCTACACGTGATTTCTTCCCTTTTGCTTGTCACGTCGTTGTCATCTCTTCACAAGTCTCTTTTTGCATTCCATCCTTTCCCGCATCTATACCGGTTCGCTATTTAGAGCACATGGAGCTTCTTCAAGATACATCGCATCACTCGGACGCATCAACGGATTAGCGGTTGGATAGTGGGATGTAAAATTGTATCGACAGACGGTGCTTCTTGTAAAGCTTGGCGTATAAGCAAGGTTCCACAATAAGGCAAAAAACGTTATTATATCGAAGAAATCGGTACTGTATTTCAACGACTTGGAGTCTTTGCACAGAGCAGTATGGTATTTAAATATCACTCACTCAAATAATCACAATAAAATGTTATTAAGTAAAATCACAATTTCTATTATTTGCGGGAAACGCGCGTTAAGGAAATTCAATGAAGTATGTTTATCGAAGCAAAATTTGTTATTGTATAACAAACAGAAGTCTTGTTTCATTTGCAGACTTCTATTTGAGCATTATCATGGATCAACGGAATCTCGCCCACGAGAAAAAATGCAGAGACAAAGGAAAGCACGATCGTCCCTATAGAGGAAAATATTACAACGAGCGTTACCAACAGCTTCGACCACACTACTGTAAAATCGCTAGTCGATCGATTAGTTGTCATAAAATTTCTATAGAAAATCGATAGTCCATTGTACAGGTTTCTGTAGTATAAAATACAAGGTACAAGGAACACGGTAAATTGTTCCTTCAAATTTACTACTACGATGCATTCTACGAATCACTACGAGATTATTAATCATCATATAAAGTGACAACAAATTCTTATTCGCGTATTACGTAAGATAACAAATATAAACGTGCACTGGGAAATACTTGTGCTGGGTGCTGCGGCTGTTGTCTCGTTGCGAAAAGCGTTAATCAAACATAAGTATTATGATTTCAAGATGTGGCCCTATTAACCATCACGCATCTAACATAGTTATCGAAGCACCACGTTTGTCAATAGATATTTTAAGTTGTGTCCAGGTGTCCAAGTAAATATATTCATAGAATATTCATCGTTCGACGTGGTCGGGATGTTTGTCGGATGGGCTGAAATCATGACACTTCTACAAATCGTATGCTTTGTAAATTTGTAAATGTCGTAGATATTTTGCCGCGATGCATTTACCGACGTAGTCTCACGGGTGCATAACATGTTTGTTTGGTAACTTAAGGTAAACTCGGAAATTGCGTGGTCGAGTGATGAACAGATCGTCGCAGCCTTTGCTGTTTGCAACAAGAATATCTGCTTAGAGTACATGCATACGCTATGCTTTATGCGATAATTAGATCTCTCTATTCATTGAACAATCGTATCCGAAAATCTCAACTTGATATTTATTACAAGAGGGCTGTACATATTTAATTTTCATTGCCGAAGGCTTTTACACGACGATAAACAACGCGCCTAGGCAAACTGATCGTTTCGACTCGCGATGTATGACGGACGATTTTGTCCGAAATGATTTACTTTAAATCACCGATATTCTCTTTGTGTGTGTGTGTGTGTGTTTGTGTGGGTGCGTGCGTGCGTGCGTGCGCATGGGACATGTGTGTGCGAGCGTGCGTGCATGAGTGCGTGCGTGCTTGCTTATTTGCTTGCTTGCTCGTATGCGTGCATCAAGTGCTTCAAAATTTGAAATGGTGACAATAAGTAATATTTTTATAATTACGTATAAAAAAATTATAACTTAATATGTATTATAATTACGTATAAAAAAATGTATTGGAACTTTAATGCATATCTTGGCATATCGAGATGGTATAATATATCGACAATTTGTAATAAATAAAGTTGCACACATATATAATTTTCTCCTATACAACTCTTGTTAAAAAAATACGTATATATATATGTACATTGACAATTATTGATCATTCGAGTTGTAATTAGTCCTTTGAAATGTTATAAATTATTGAAATTTAAAAAATCCATGAATTTTATGCAGCACTTTGAAAGGTAGCTCAGTTTAGCACGCGCGCTATTGTTATGTGTATATATAAATATGTAAATAATATATTTATACATGTACACACACACACACACACACACACACACACACACACACACACACACACACACACACACACATGAAACAAAGAGACACACACACAGCCACGCGCATATATACGTGGTACGATCCTAGACCTTGACGATGAGTCTTGTGGACTTGTTATCCTCTCCCCCTCTCCTGCCGTTAGAATAAGTATATAAGTAACCTATTTTGAGAGCAGACTCTAATTACGATGGATGGAATGTTTTCCAAACGCAGGTTGAGAAATGTGCTAGTGACATCAAAAATCGAAACAACTTAGGTTTCATTTAAATGAGAGGTAAAATATATTCCATAGTATTATTATTCACTATTTCTACACATTCTGTACAGTAATTCAATTTAAGTTTTATACCTCGATACACTTTATACAAAAAGGCTACTTATAATCTAACATTAAGACATACCATAGCATGAGCGCCCTCCACCTTAGCAGACGGCGGATGGGTCGCACGCATGTTTGTACTGGTATTACAGAATCAGTCGCCAACTAGTGCAATTACTTCCCTTCTCTCCTATCCACCCCTCGATATCACATACAGCACACCGAATAACTGCAAATGTTCCTTTTACCTTTCATTTTTTTTCACTTGTCTTGTTTTTACGAGCGTGCGCGCGTATGTATATACATATACATACACACACACACACACACATACACACACACACATACATGCGTGTGTGTGTGTGTGTATAGTAATCATTTACAATAAATCAGTATTTAACTTATGTCGGACTGATCTACCTCTTTGTCTCGCTGTTAGTCTGTTTTTCTTCGTTCTCTTTTGCTGTAATCTATCTTGCAGTTTACTCTCGGGGAAAAGATCAATTATAAGAGATTTTATATCGTCGCGGTGTCAAAATGTAATGAAATGCCTTCATTGCCTTGTATGCACGAGTGTTTTTGTTCCTCGATTTAATTTTTCTTTCTTACATATCCCATTACCGACGAACAGAAACATATTCTCCGCGAAATTTCTCCCTCGGGTACACAATATCGGTACAGGAACGACGTATCTCGGAGATAAAATGAGCGACGGAACTGTTAATTCAGGTCTCTGTCTTCTAAGTACTTATACTCAAAAGTGAAGCCTTCTTTCTTTCTCTGTCCCCATTTTTCATAATCAAAATAGATGTACGTCCCCTGAAAAGCGGGAGATTTCTACGGTACATTATCGTGCCAAGATATGCGAGAATGCAATGTTGAATGCAATCGCGTAAATACCTCAAGTTATTTACGCGGAGTGTTTAGAGTGAACGAGAAACTGATTCGTTTCTTTTTCTGTTTCCAAAGTAGAGGAGAGACAAAACTCACTGACCTGCTCGTATTCTTCGTTGATAACTTTCGGCTCCTCGTGCCTCTGGAACCACATCATGTACTTGGTATGAAACCTCCAACTCTGTTTCTTCAGAGCTTTCGCTGCCAAATATTGCCCCTTGGAGCCTTCCATGTAATAAAATATGAAGAATAAGGTTTCCGTGGAAAGACGCTGGAAGAATTCCACGGTATCCGAATGGGGAAGCTGAACCTGGTAGAGTCAATAAGTCTGTGTTTCAGCGTCTCTCCCGAGGTTACGTACGACGCAACGGCGAGAAAAGAAAAATATGAGGGAGATACGAAGAAGTACCGACAGCGAACGAAAAGATGTCAGGTTAAAATAAAATGTGGTAAAACGTGCGTGGCGTACCTGCTGGTAATAAGGTGGTGTCGTGCACGTATTTCTCGGCAAATACGAACGTAATCTTTCAGAGTCGGATGGATGCGGCATATGATAATAGGCGGCTTCCATCATCTGAAACTGCAACTGGTGTTCCTTTTGCAAAGGTACAGGTCCGAGGGGTGCAACCCCGAGCAAAGGAGGAATGTGTGCTTCCGACGTTGCATTGTTATTGTTATTACTGTTCGTCTTGGCACTATCGAAGATGTTTCGACTCGACTCGGATGGAGGTATCTCAAGACCTGCTCGGACAATGACTTGTTGGGCGATGGATTTTAGAGAGGACATGCTGTCGGGTAGCTTAGGGATGAGACCATTGGCAGTGGACGGTGCTGGCGAGCAGGAATTCACAGGTAGCGGTGAGGATCTACTGCTAACGGACGACTGCGGCGACGAGGATGGTGGTACCGGCGTAACGATCTCCGTTTCGCTATTATGATTCTGACTCTGCTGGCTATGCAGTACATGCGTCGTCTGTGTCGGCGGCGGTGGCGGTGGCGGATTATTACTGTGCTGCTGCGCGACCGTCAGTGGCACATTGGTCGTAACGTTGGATGTAGATGACGACGACGACGACGACAAAATGCCATTTTCGCTGTTGTGACCTATGTACACAGAAAGAGGTTTGTTTACAGCACGGTATATCGAGAGGGTGCGTGACCACGAGCACGAATCGATCATCCACGGTAATGTTCGACAAGCCATTGATCAGCCGTGTAAAATTATTTGCGCGCGCGCGCGCGAGAGAGAGAGAGAGAGAGAGAGAGAGAGAGAGAGAGAGAGAGAGAGAGAGAGAGAGAGAGAGGAGAGAGAGAGAGAGGAGAGAGAGAGAAAAGTCTTACTGGATGTTTTATTAGAGGTAGAATGAATGGCTTGCGAATTACTGTGCGAGGCAGCTACGGTGGCGAAATTGCCGACGTTTGTAGTGGCGATGTGATTGCTCGTAGAACTAGGCGAGCTATGGCTAGGTGTCATGGGAATGGTTTTACTCGGAGTGCTGCTCGATAACATATTCGATTTGATGGTGGCAGTGCTTCCCGTTGTTGGAATGCTCGCTTGCGTATTCAGTAACGGCCTGACTGCTGTTGGTTTTACAGGCTGAAAATCACGAAACATCGCTGAAACCAATATCTTTGCACACACGTCGTGTTCGTGTCGGGAAAATGAAGATAAACGGCTGGGTCGATCGCAAGCAAGACCGCCGGCCTTACTCGGACGAATAACCGCTAATCAGGCACACATACCTTTGTTTTCTTATCATTCTCCGTAGAACTGTCGCTCGAGTGATTATGCAAAGTAGAACTCAGTGGTGGCGATGGTATGGCGGACGGCGATGTGCAGGAATTAGTCGAAGTCGGTGTGCCGCCGGTTTCGTTGCTATTGTTACTGTCTGTTGTTGCTGACGAAGGGATACCAACTCCGGATAACTCAACTTCGTCAAGGCCGATAATATCGTCGTATATATATTCGTTTTCCTCAAAGTCAGGATCTTGAGAAGATTCAATATAATATTCAACGTCCTCTTTTATCCTCTTAATCTGTCGGTAATTTCACAAAAAATTATAGAAAATGGTTGGAACGGAGAAACAAATTGAACTGTGTGCTGTTATGCATGTTATATACTCAAAACGCTTATTCGAAAGCACTTACCGTGTTGACCTCGACGGACATATTGTCGAGCATACGTAACAATGTTTCCAATTTACGGATATGATAGCGGTGTTTATCGAGTTTCGTCTTCAACTCGTCCATCCTATCTTGTTTATCTTTGTCTAACCTTTTTTTCTTCCCTGCCAATAACGACTCTATCTCTGATTCAAACGTGTCCAGCTGTACGAAGAACAACGACAGAAGCGTTAAAGTTACAAGAGCACGAGTGTTGGCATATGGCGTGGCATTGGCGTACGGTAAAGTCACGGAACAGAGTGCGGTCAATCGTGCTTCGAAGAATGCGCGTTAGTCCATAACACACGACGAATCACGTCGTCACATCTCGTCTCGTTATCGCAAGCGACACGAAGTCGCCCGAAAAGACAAATAACAATAGGTACCTGTATATTGAGAGCATCTATAGAATTGGCCAGCCAATTACTGACTTCTTCTCTTTCCTTCTGTGCCGGATCGAGCTTTTGTGCCGCACCCAAGCCTTCCTTGGAATAAGCCTTTGTTTTTGTTTCTCTTTCCACAACTTTAAATCTTTCCATTTGCTGCGAAACAAAGGGACATTCACTATGCAAGAATTTTTACTCTATAATACCACAGCATGCACAACACATACGGTACAACTCGCAAGCATACTCACAGTTTCGATTAACTTCCTGTACTCGAGAAGCGTGCTCTTATCCTTGATCTCACCCGACGCGATCCAGCTCTTGATCTGATCGCGTAACCTTTGAAGTTTCTTGATTTCCTTTTTAAGGTCTGCCTCGTACTTTTCCTTCTGATTGCTGTTGGTGGCATTATGAACTTTCTGCCAAATATCTTCAAAGGTTTCCACACCCTCCGTTACTTTTTTAAGGCACCGATCTATTTCACCTGAAACATTGGCAAAGCATTCGCAAGTTGTCGAATCAAAGTATCCTCAATTCATCTTTAGCGCAAGGAGATCTTTAGAGCGAGGAATCGCTGTGGAAGAAACATACTGCTTCGTCAAATATTGGTAAATGCTGCAAGGACAAGGGATACCGCGCTAGTTGAAGAAGAAACTCCAATGACTGAGTCTGAAAGTACCGAAAGCTGAAAATCTGTACCCTGCTTCGCACAATATCAATTCTTATTTACCGCAATAGATATCTAAGAGAGAGAGAGAGAGTGAGAGAGAGAGAGAGAGAGAGAGAGAGAGAGAGAGAGAGAGAGAGAGAGAGAGAGAGAGAAAGAGAGAGATACATTAGTACGGTTTACGGGCTACTCGAATCGGACGTGGTACGCTCATCAGGACTCGAGGCTCAACGCGAATCTTAAAGGTTATAACGATATGTGTGTGTGTGTGTAAGGATTCGTGCTGCGTTCTAAGACACGAAAAGGTACGGAAACGGTGACGATCGCGGATGTAGGAGAGAAGCAAGAAAAGATGCAGGCAAAAGAGGATAAATGTTGGCGTGTTACAAAAGTCACTGATCGCTCGACGATAGACCGTGCGGCGGTAAACCGACGTTGGAGCGATTTCGCGGGTTGGAGCACAAATCGTGCGAATGTAAGGAAAAGCAGCAACGAAGGTAGAGGCAGACAGGAAATGTAACTGGAACAGTAGAGTCGCAACGCGATGCGGTTCGAGAAATCAGTGAATGTAAACACGCTGTAAAGACTCTCTTCTTACCTTGCAACTTTCTCGTCGCAGCCATGGCTATGTGAACACGTGATAAAATGGTTCATGCATAGTCCAGACGTGTTAGAAAAGATGCGGAGAAATCAATTGGAACAAATAGTCAGAGGACTATTATTCCCGTATAATATGGGAGGCTCGGCCACAAGATGGCTTCCGTTTTAAAATGACAACGTCCGACTGTCCGTGAATGAGTCGATCCTTGCTGATCTTTCGTTCGGTGTTGTCGCGACACACGTTGAGCGGAACGCTACAGTCGAACATAAATCGTTGAACAAGACTGATTTTGACGTTCGCAATGGATTCACGAAGAGCGAATAGCATCAACAAGCAATATATATGAGATACAAGAGGCGAGACAGTTAATACGCATCGACACATTCGCGCACATTCTACCCTAGAGAGTACACGTACAAAGTATATGCGTGCACCACTGAACATAAAGGCCGGTATTCACAGTTCCAACTCAAGACGGTCGTCAGTGTTCTTCGACAGATGTCAGGCGGCTCGTTGGAACGTGGATTTAAGTTGCGTTCCGTTTCACGCATAATGCGCGCATTTTCTATAATATAAGTGACATGAACTATATAGATAATTGCGCGCATATGCGTGAACGGAAAACGCGGCTTTAGTAAAATGACGGCAGACAATTTGCTGGTATGGGCAGGTTCCTTTCGCACCGATGAGGTAATATAAAGACTGCCAGCCTGGAGTAAATTTTCGTATTGGCCAAGGGGGCCAAGGGGGCCCCAAGGGGCCCGGAGATAATTGAAAAGCGATGATAATACCTAAAGCCCTAGGCTGCGTTCCGTTTCACGCATCGAGCGCATCGATCGTAACCAATGCGTTGCGTGCATTGATATCGTTCCGTTTTCGTTAATGCGTCTATGCACTTTTGGAAACGGAACGACTTTTGATGCGTTTGATGTGAAAGGAAAAATGGATGCTACTATGGTCACAATGGACATCGAAACATTGACAACAATAGCCTTATTTTCATTAGTGAATGATGATGTTACGTCCTGGACAAGCATAGAACATGCAATGTCTAGATTTGTTTGGTTTACTTCGGATCAGCGCTGTTCTTGTCCAAATCCTTATTATTTGAATCTGTTTCCTTTGGAGGTGGGTTACTGTTAGGTTTAAAAATAATAGTATTCTCGCTAGTGTTGAATTTAACTTCAAATATATTTCCCTTTATTTCAGATTTTATTCTCTCTCGGGACCGAAGATTTAGATGGATCTGTTTTGAAAACAGCCAGGTCGAGCGTGCCTGGATTATAATAACTTTTCAACAGACGTCTAAATTGAATCCGCCGTCCGGCTCTTCTTGTTCTTTTCAGCATGAGAGATTTTTAGGTAATATTTATTTTAACAATATCTATAATAGAGTAGATGGAAGGGACGTGGTTAAGTTTGAAGAATAAAAAGGCGAATGGTGCTCGTGTTTCAAGCACAACACTCTTAAAGTAAGGAAGAGAAGAACTGTGCTCGTGGTTCAAGCACTGAGTTCTGGGAAAAAGGGAGGAATGGTGCTCGTGGTTCAAGCACAACACTCTTAAGGTAAAAAAAAGAAGAACGATGCTCGTGGTTCAAGCACGGCGTTCTGGAAAAAGAATGAAGATGATAAGAGGGAAGAGAGGTAAAGAAATCTGTACACACACATATATATATATATATATTATGAAATTACTCTATATTGTTAAGTTTAAAAATTCATACACTAAATTTAATGTAGTTAATAGCTGGCTCAATACTTATTCAAGTAAAAGAAATGTTTCTCTATAATATCATTATGAGGAAAAGAGGCTCGTTCGACCTTTAATGATTTGGATTTTACGTCTTAACAAACGTCTTAGCATTTGCAGACGGAGTCCCAAGAACAATAATCTTTAATACCGACCTTTTAATTCCAGGCTCAAGACCCCTTAGCAATCGGCTAACAAGAGGCTCAGCGAAAGATTGTCTGTTGGCTAATTGGAGGCTAATAAGAGACTGCTTAGAGATTGACGAGAGACTGCCTAGCGCGCGAAGGGCCGAGCCCTTTTTATACCCAAGCCCGACACTATGGATATCAATTGAGCGTCTTTTCCTAATTCACCCTTCATTATTTATCGGTTAAAAAATATAAAAATGTTATTATCTAGTAATTAAAATTATACTTAATCATATGTAGCGTTTGGTAATTCAGTTGTCTCGTTGTTGGCTGATTTATTAATAAAATTATGTTTTACTAAGAAATGCAAATGTTGTTATTGATTTCCTTTGGTATAATATAAGAATTTGGAAACTTAAAAGAATTATTTCATTCGGGCGTAGTAATCATTAAAGTTAAATAATACGAATAGATCCTCTTCTACAATTCTAAAGCGCATATACATCAGGATAGGCGGTTTGACAATAATATTTGAGGAATTATTTGCGAAATATGATGGCAATTATTTAATATCATTTAAAAATAAGAAAAATAGAAGAAAGAAAGGAAATTATTTTCCTCTTCGAGTCTTTGTTTCAGGTCTTTGTTTAGTTCGCAGTACGTAGGACAGCTATCACTCGATGATATCTATAACATAAACACATTCCAATATGTGCGCGGCTGTGCCCGAACGAAATCGTTCTTAGTCCCCGAGACAAATGAATTTATAAGCTAGCTCTAAATTTATTTCTTAAATTTTCTTATTCTCTCTTTTCCTATTTTATATATTTACTATGTCGATGTCTGCTTCAGTCCTATGTTAATGTTAATTTTATTTCAAAATATGCTATTTATGATTATTTTTGTGTTATTTAGTTGTTTGATAATCTATCGCTTACTAAACGAAGCAAGAAGGTAGAAGGAGGAGAGAGAAAGAAGAAGATAGATGATGATTCAGTAAATAGTTTCGAGTATTAATGATATTATATTATATTAACGATAAAAGACGGCAGAGGTACCTGTTGATTGCAGAGGTGTTTGTAGGAGGCGTTGCAGTTGGATTAGTCGATGATAGGTAAGAATTTGATTGGGTAGGAAAAGGTATGGTGAGTTTTGGTGAGAAGGGAGATAGGGAATTTTAATATGGTGGGACGTTACAATGACAACAGAATTTGCAGCAGTAGTAGTAGTGAATCTATATTTTATCAAGAAATCTTGATCTGTAGAAAAATATTCACACACATGCATTAATTTAAAAATACAATTGAATTGTTTCTAAAACTTAAAAATTTCAATTTTACCTTTCGATGCTCTTAACGCGATCTCTTTTTCGAGAAACATAGTAATCATTTCGTTATCCACTGAGGCCCAGTTCCACAACTTGCTTTAAACGGAGTTTAAATAGCGTACTTGAGATGCACGGTCTCGCGCATTATTATGCATTTGTAACATGAATTAACATATTAACATGCGCAAAAAAAGAGAGAATTGAGATTGTGTATGATTAATATCATGAAGATTATATACGATTTATATCGATATAAAGGGTGTCCCAAAAGTAACGGACCACCCTAATAACTCTTTAGTATTGAAGTTTCAAGGAAAATGATCTGAATAAAAGATGCAGAGATTTAAGTGAGCTATTTTATAATGACCTTGACTTCGATATTGACCTCTATTTTCAAGGTTATTTGGAGGTCAATTTGCGTTTTTTAAATGGGAATCTTTATTTCTTATTACACTGTTCTTTTCTACTAGTTTATTTGAACAAAATATTGTGTAAAACATTTTTTCAATTGTCTAATATTTTTTTAGATATTTGAGGAAAACTTGATTTCGGTATTAGGTTTGTTTCTACTGGGAATTGAGAGTCGAGCCTTATAGTGAGAATACGGTATATAAAGGACTATATTGTGGCAAAGGCGCATTCCTGTAGCCGTTCCTTGAGCCGTTTGGGAGATATCAAAGGTTAAAATTTTTAACTCGTACTGTTAACATCCGACTGTTAAACTCCGTTTCTACTAGGAATTGAGAGTAGAGATTTATGGTAAGAATAGGGTTAGTACAGGATTATATTGTGGCACAAGTGCGTTCCTGTATCTTGAGCCGTTTAGAAGCTATCGAAGGATAAAGTTTTTAACATGTACTGTTAACACTTTACCGACTGGTAGCGTTCAACATCCTATGTACTTCTCACCAGCCACTCGGCCGCATATCTTCTCTGGCACCGGCTCTGTGTCGGCTTAGACTGTCGCGCGCGGATATATGTGCTTTTCTTATGCTCAAGTAAAATTGTACGCTTTCTGTTATTATAGGATAATCAAATTTGATAAAATCTTTTATTTTCATGATGTTAGTGCTAAGCAATATTTATTTTTTCTATTATAATCGTTTTCAGTTTAATATTTATATAATATACCATAATACATACAACTATATTTTTCAAATAAGAAATCGTTTAATATTAATTTTAAAGTATCCAGCTCTGAAATATTTGTTGAAGTCTGTTCCTGCTCATTACTTGCACGAAGAATGGAGTTTCTATAGTCGGGCCAGTGGACCAGTAATCGTAGAGAACGTCCTTCTTTATTTGTCCCATTAGAATTAGTAGGCCTAAAAATTTCTTTATTTCGGGTATCGTTATATCTGTCCACTTTTTCGTTTTTGATGTAATTCTATATCTTTCCATTACTTGATAATGGTATCTATTGGATTCCCTCACCTAGTGCTCAAAAAAGTCATTTCCAATGAATAAATTTACCATATCCATTAAACTTTCTGGCGAACTTAGCATAATTTTCACGCCGGGGCAGCCTTCGAAAGGTTCCAACATTATCGTTTTGTCATTTGTCGACCATGTACCATCGTTGTCTTCAACGGTATTTATATCATCGTCTTCTGAATCATTGTACCTTACAAGGGGAGGACGCATCGACCGGGAAACGGTTTGGAACGAAACTTACGGAGTTAATAGTACTTGACTACTAATAACTCATGGTAATAGCGTACGACGCAATACCTCTTCGTTTTCGAGAAAAAACGGTCTAAAGAAAAGAGTCAACAAAGTGTACGAGTTAGTAAGAAGGATATTCAACGAAGCGGAATAGCGCAGCAGCGAAGGTAACGGACTACCGAGGTGACGGCTGAGGTTCGATCCCTGCTGTATGGTTTTTATTATTCTGTAAGCATAAAAATGAAGCAGAAAACATTAAAAAATAATAAAACTGCGTTTCTTAAATATATTAGTGTTTGTTAAATATATTATTAATAATTTAAGTTGCAAAAAGACCGTAAATCTTATTTATAAAATATATAGTGTATGAGAAAATTTTTATATAATAATTGCAATCGAAATAGGAATAAAAATATTGTTATGAAATATATAGGAATGCTACTAACTCTTTGCGGTCGATGCCGCCACAGTGGCGGCATTCGTAAGTCGTCGTAGAAGTCGATGCTGCCAGGCTGGCATTCATGATCGCCTGGCGTGCGGCACGGCAAATGAGGCTAGCGATAATGAAAGAAAACTATCCTCCCGATGCTAGATTCAAATGTTTAGATCAACTTACAGATATCCATGTTTATCGATCTCTTCGAAATCAGCCGATCGCAAAGAGTAAAACTAGTATGAGATAATTTTTCGTAATCTTATATCGTATATATAAAATATTTAATTCTGTTACAATTCTCTATGTTGTATTGAAGTCGTGTTGTGTTGAAGTTATGTTGTGTCTTTACCACTTCTGGCAATCCCCCTCCAAAAACTTCCTTTGTGCCATTCTAAACGATCGTTAAGAATGACGAAATGATTCGAGCATCGGAACAGTCGTCAGTAAAGCAAGCAGCAGTGTGCGTTTACTAGTGATACAGAGCAATTCGGTGATCATATTTAAATTACATATATCATAACAATGTCAGAGAATGCTTCAACAAGCAAAATAGTTGGTGTAGAATTGCTAGAAGAAAGATCTTTGAATGATTTGAAAATGAAGATTTTAAAGGTGAATTCACTAATGCTTTCGTACATGCGAATTCTATTTACGAGAATAATGAATTATTATCGAAAAATCCTCCAGCGAAAATATATATTTTTACGCCTATTTCCATTGCAATTAATATATAAAAATTTTCTCATACACTATATATTTTATAGATAAGATTTAGGGTTCTTTTTGCAATTTATATCATTAATAGTATATCTAACAAACACTAATATATTTAAGAAACGCAGTTTTATTACTTATTAATGTTTTCTGTTTTATTTTTATGCTTATAAAATAGAAAAAAACCGTACAGCAGGGACCGAACCTCAGCCGTCACCTCGGTAGTCCGTCACCTTCGCTGCTGCGCTACGCCGCTTCGTTAAATGTCCTTCTTACTAACTCGTACACTTTGTTGACTCTTTTCTTTAGACCGTTTACTCTCGAAAACGAAGAGGTATTGCGTTGTATGCTATTACCATGAGTTATTAGTAGTCAAGTACTATCAACACCGTAAGTTTCGTTCCAAACCGTTTCCCGGTCGATGCGTCCTCCCCTTGTTAGTGGTAATACAGAACGTCGCTTTCGAATCATTATATCACTGCCATCACTTTCGTCACCACTATCACTTGTTGAACAGCTGCCAGGACAATCTGACAGATTATCTAAGTAAAGCTCAGCACTACCATTTCTCTCGCTCATCCTGAACAGTGTTTTCAAAGTGGTATAAAAATATGGAAGCTTACAGACGAAACCAAGCAGTACCTCAATAGTAAATAACAAGTGCTTGTTGGCTGCCATTGCAACCGATTAATCGGTCAGTGAGCGCTGATGGCCGGTGAGCGCTGGGGACAAAAAGCCAATTAATCGGCCACCGGTCGGTGAGCGTTGGGGACAGAAAGTCGATTAATTGGTAACCGGTTGGTGAGCGCTGGGGACAGAAAGCCAATTAAACGGATACAGGTCGGCAAAATGTTAATATCTCCGTTCCCAATGGGAACTGAGAGTCGTAATTAATGGTGAAATGTAGGATTTTGAAAGGACTTTAATTAGGTGCCAGAGCCAGGCCTGTATCTCTAACCGTTTAGGAGATATCGAAGGTTAAAGTTTTCCAACCTTTCTGCGTTGATATCTCCGTTTCTACTGGGAGTAGAGAGTCGCCACTTACGGCAAAATGTAGGGTTTTGAGAGGACTTCAATTTGGTGCCAGAACCAGGCCTGTATCTCTAACCGTTTAGGAGATATCGAAGGTTAAAGTTTTCCAACCTTTCTGCGTTGATATCTCCGCTTCTACTGGGAGTAGAGAGTCGCCACTTACGGCAAAATGTAGGGTTTTG